GATAGTGCAGAAGATTTGTAGCTCGGGTGGATGGTTTTGATGAAGTTTTGTTCTCTGAGCTAGGTGGTTTGGTCGTGAAAATTTCATCGTTCTTCTGAACGACATCATCAGCACAAACTCCAGGTAGAGATCTGAAGTGTTTGAACTTCTCCACATGTGGTTCACAGCTTGTCCTGTACACCTCGGTGTTGATTGGTTTTTTTGACATTAAACCTGTCACTGTTTACTTCTTTGTTTCGGCTGTATCTCCAATTGGTTTGGTTTTTGTTCCTATTACTTACTTACTTACGCCTGTTACTCCTCGTGAACGAGCATAGGCCGCTCACCAGCATTCTCCATCCAACCCTGTCCTGGGCAATCCTTTCCAGCTCTTTACAGTTCGTATTCATCCCTTTCATATCCGCTTCTATTTCCCGACGTAATGTGTTCTTTGGCCTTCCTCTTTTCCGCTTCCCTTCAGGATTCCAAGTTAGCGCTTGTCTCGTAATGCAGTTTGATGATTTCCTCAATGTGTGTCCTATCCATTTCCATCGTCTTTTCCTAATTTTCTCTTCAGCTGGAAGCTGGTTTGTTCTCTCCCACAAAAGGCTGTTGTTGATGGTATCCGACCAATGTTGAATGTTGAGTATCATGCGTAGACAGCCATTGATAAATACCTGTACCTTCTTGATGGTGGTTGTTGTAGTTCTCCACGTTTCAGCTCCGTACAGTAGAACTAACTGTCTTGACGTTGGAATTGCAGATTCTGACTTTGATATTGGTTGACAGACAGTTGTTTTGAGTTCCATATGTTCTTCAGTTGAAAGAATTGCCGCTCTAGCTTTGCCAATCCTCGCCTTGACGTCTGCATCTGAGCCTTCTTGTTTATCGACGATGCTTCCCAGGTATGTGAAGGATTCTATATCTTTCAGAGTTTTGCCATCAAGAGTGATTGGGTTGCTGTTCTCCGTGTTGTGTTTGAGGACCTTGGTTTTCCCTTTGTGTATGTTGAGGCCTACTGATGCAGAGACTGCTGCTACTCTGGCTGTCTTTATCTGCATTTGTTCGTGTGTATGTGATAGGAGGGCTAGGTCATCTGCGAAGTCCAAATCGTCTAATTGGTTCCGAGCTGTCCATTGTATGCCGTGTTTTCCCTCAGATGTCGAGGTCTTCATAATCCAGTCGACCACCAGGAGAAACAAGAAGGGAGAGAGTACACAGCCTTGTCTGACTCCGGTCCTTACTTGGAATGCGTCTGTCAGCTGTCCTGCATGCACTACTTCGCACTGTAGTCCATCGTATGAGTTCCGGATAATGTTGACAATCTTCTCAGGAACTCCGTAGTGTCGAAGAAGTTTTCATAACTTTGAATCTCAGTGATTGGTCTTCCTTCTTTGTCTTTGACTGGTCTCTCTGGTTTACTGTATTTCCCTGCAAGCTTCTTCGTCGTACCGTAAAGCTGTCTCATATTTCCTTCTCTTGCAGCTTTTTCCGCCGTCGTTGCTAGTTCTTCCACGTATTTTTCCTTGTCAGCTCTAATGCTCTTCTTCACTTTCTTGTTTTCTTCTATGTACTCAGCTTGTGCTTCGACTTTCTCTGCTCTTGTTCGACTGTTGTTAACTGCTGTCTTCTTGTTCTTTCTTTCTTTGATCCTGTCCAGTGTTTCTATAGAGATCCATTCCATGTGATGATGCTTCTTGGGGCCCAGAACCTCATCACACGTTAAAGTTAATGTTTCTTTGATGCCTTTCCAGCTATCCTCCATAGTAGTTTCTTCTTCCTTCAGTAGGTCCTGTAAGGCTTGGAACCTATTGTTGAGAGCTACCTTGAATCCATTGAGTTTGTCAGTTTCTCGAAGGAAGGCTGTATTGAACCTTTGTGGTGCTGTTTGTCCAGTTGTCCAGTTCTTCTTTAGCTTCAGTTTCAATTTGGCTACAACCAGGCAGTGATCTGAAGCTATATCTGCTCCTCTCCTGGTTTTTACATCTTGATGCATGTATGATCTATCTGGTTCCCTGTGGTGTGGTCCGGTGAGATCCATGTAGCTTTGTGTATACGTTTGTGTGAAAATATTGTACCGCCTATGACCAATTTATTGAATGCACACAAATTTGCGAATCTTTCCCCGTTTTCGTTTCTCTCTCCCAGTCCATGTAGTCCCATGATGTCTTCATATCCGGTGTTGTCCATTCCGACTTTGGCGTTTAGATCTCCCATCAGAATGGTGAGGTCCTTTCTTGGGAACTTCTCTATAATTAATTGCAGCCTCTCATAGAATTGATCTTTAACGTCGTCGTTGCTATCATTGGTGGGTGCATAACATTGGATAATGTTCATTGTGATCCCCTCCTTCTTTGTTTTGAATGATGCTTTGATGATTCTGGATCCGTGAGATTCCCATCCTACAAGTGCATTTCGTGCTACTTTGGACAGCATTAGAGCAACTCCCTGAGTGTGTGGAGCATGTTCCTCTTCGTGACCGGAGTATAGCAGCATCTCTCCCATATTTAGCCTTTGTTGTCCAGCTTGGGTCCAATGGGTTTCACTGATTCCCAGTACTGCCAAGTTGTATCTCCTCATTTCCGTTGCTATTTGACTGGTCTTCCCGGTCTCCCACATTGTCCGGACGTTCCATGTACCTATAAAAATTGTTGCTCTGGTTGTTAGAAGGGGCATCGGCCTCGTGGCTTCCGAAGGAACTCGGCTTTCACCATGAAGCGTCATATTACATCTAACTCCCTGGGCAGAGTTTAATTGGTTTGAGTTATTTTTTCTGGTTAGCGTTTTTTTAGCGAGTTAGTTTTCTACGGGATGGGGACGCTAACCCCATGCCCAACCCTCCTCCTTTACCCGGGCTTGAGACCGGCAGTAGCCCCCCCCCGAAAGGGACTCCAGGCGGAGTTTTTTGTTCCTATGTTTGTCCATAATCTTCCTGATTGGTTGATAAATTGGATTGATGTCAATGTACTTGTTGATTGCTGATTGATCTGATTGCCAAGCTTCTAAAACTTCTCTGGCGCTTCTGGCATTTCCTCCATCTAAGATTTTCACATTTTTCTAGTCAAAGGAGTGTCTGCATTTGTCCACGTGTATTGATATAAGTGAGGAAATGTCATGGGGTTTGACTGCTAATGAATGTTCATGCAGGCGAAGGTGAAGAGGGCGTTCAGATTGTCCGACATAGTGTCTTTCGCAATTGGCACAATTTATTTTTTAGATGATGTTTGGTTTGTCTTCTATTGTCATTTAATCCTATGGTTTGCATAAGACTGATTGTAGTGATTTTGTTAGTTTGCGTGCTATACCTATTCCGAAGGGTTTAAGCACTCTCATTGTAGTTTCTGATATGCCTTTTATGTATGGTAGGGTGATCCTTTTGTTGATTTCTGTTCTTTATTTTTGAAGATGCGCCCGCCTGGTATTTTTTAATGAAGTTGATTGAGTAGCCGTCCTTCTGAAAGATGGTCTTTAGGTATTTTTCTTTATTTCTTCGTGCTTCAAGTGTGTTTCAGTGTGTTTTCGCCCTCTTGAACAAAGTCTGTACGCAGCTTATTTTGTGAGCTCTTGGGTTGTTTAAGGTCAACAAGAACCAATCAACATGGAGGTCTACAGACCAAGCTGTGAACCATATATGGATAAATCCAAACAATTCACTTCTACCATAACGTTGTGCTAATGGTGTTGTTCAGACGAACGATGAAAATCTCCACGACCAAACCATTTAGCTCAGAGAACAAAATTTCATCAAAATGTACATTCTTTTCTATGTATATTACTATCAGTCTTTGAATACACTCTTTTATAAGGTGTACAGCCAAAGGTTGCAAATTTTTCATAAACGCACCTGATTAAGCTATGAGACTAGTGGGCATATTGATGTGTTAAAACAAACTAGAAAACAGGTAACTTTTGAAATATCCAGATGGCAGAAACAGGTAGCCCAGATATTCAAACAGGCCACCTAAACTAACCACAGTAATTGACAAATGAAATAACATATTTAATGATTTTTTGATACACTTGATACATCCAAGAGTTATTTCCTGGAGTTCTAGTGAGAAGCCGTGATCAATGAAGTTCAACCAAGTTTGTTATGAGATAATAACTCACTTAAGACAATGATGGACGGTGGAGCAATTTCATGGATTGTTTGAAGTTAGACATTAACATCATTGGATGCCAACTCAATAGTCTGAAGGTTAAGTGTTCGCTGGCGTAACTAATAGGTCCTGCGTCTGAATCACACGAAGCGGGGCGTGGATGGGCATTGTTGAAGAGTCCCACAATAGGGCGAGTTGATTGTCCAGTGCTTCCAAGTTTTCCATGGTTGTCTAGCTTCAATTGACTCATGAATTCAATTATTATATTACATTGATAAGAATTGTCAAGTTAAAGCACTGGAAATTTTAATTTAATAAAAATACCTGGTTGTTAGACCTATTTTTTCTTATTGATTAGACCAAATTGTTTCTTATCTCTCAGGATCTTCATTGATCGGTGATACATTGAAAATTTTCGGAGGTGTGGTTTGATGTGACTTCCATGATTATTCTATTATTAACTGAATTATATAATATGAACCTCTACGTATTCATCAGTTAGTTTACATACATACGTGATTGTGTTCAAATTTTATAATAATAATAATAATAATAGTAATGAAAAACCACCATTAAAAATAAGAAAACAGTAGACAGACCTTTTATGAACGCATTCTATTGAGGATTCCCGTACCAGCAAGTAACAGTTGTCAAGTCCTTCCTGGTCTTTATATTAGTACTCTACCGAAGATCATTACACAGTATTTATGATACCATATACTAATAACAATTTACTTATTAAATATATAAATATGTATAACTATATATGTTTAATTATACGGATTTATTCAATCATAGTAACTAATCAACAAAATAAATCAATTCCCATAGTTACTATTTGTTACTAATGTTATGATATTCTTTCTCTCTCTCTCTCTCCATCCCCCTCTCCCCCTCTCTCTCTCTCTTTACATTGTCCAATTTATAGACTATAAAGTTAATATAAAAACGGATCTATTATAAAATCATTTTATTTAATTCATCAGTGTAATAATATTGATTAAAGGGGTAATCATGGTTAAATTAAATTATAATTTATTCATATGGATTAAATTATTATTATATTCATTACAATTATTCAATGAAATATCTACTCAATATATTAATAAAGAAGCATATACTTGCCCATATTTATGGATGCATTGGAAACAAAGGCGTACATTTGGTTGGATATGCGGTTCAGTACCATATTTACAAACAAAGTAAGATTTAATAGATTTGAATGGGTATTTTCTTTTTTCTTTTTCTTTATTTTGTGTGTGTGTGTGTGTGTGGAGATTATCTAAATTTTAGTGCCTAACATGACTTTAGTCTGTCAGTAACAACGTAGTACTTCGTACGTATGTATATCAGTTCGAGTTGTCATACCATATTAGCACAAAGATGTAGTTGTCGATTCAATAGTAATCGCAAGAATTAAGGTTTGAAGATGTTATTCAAAGAGTATAATCCAGTGAAATAAATTTGGAAAGGGACATGAAGAATTCAGAAGATTAGAATTTGAGAGAAAACAAAGAGTGGATGTACCTACACCATTATAAATGATTTTAAGCCATGTCACATTCAAGGTCTCTAACCATCGGTTGCTATCATCTCACGGATCCCCGGAACCAGGTAGTCTACATCTATCAACATAGATTAGTCCACTTGTCAATGACTTGATGGATTTGTGCCATGTGACTTACTAACATTCAATTAAATGGTCTATAGGTATGACTTGAAATTTTTTTGTTTAATCAATATATGGTAAGTTATCAGTGTGTAATAGATAGGAAATTTCTAATCACTATCATTCTGTATATCGAGAACTATTCAATCAACCAATTGGTGAATGTCTACTTATCATATATACATAGAATTATGATTTATGATAATGAAAAATAAATGTAGTTCTTCTATGTTCTATTAAGTAGTACTGTTGAATGTTTATTAAAAGTTTGAAAAACTAAAACTTGACGTACTTATATCCTCCAATAAGTAACGTATCTCTAAGCCCATACTCCTTCACGAGGAGTAACAGACGTAAGTAAGTAGGTAAGTAAGTAAGTAAGTAAGTAAGTTAGTCACCTATCAATCATACATATTATCAAAATTGAATAACTATAAGTGATCATAGAGTGATCATTCATCAATCAGTAGTTAAGGATAAGATAAATTGGATCATAAAGTGATAGAATGTTTTAGAAACAAATGATTAATCAAGAATAGAATTGTAGAATTTAAATCTCAGTGAACTTTGAATGATTGAAGAGGATAATCAGAAAAACACTGAACTGAGTTAGTTACCATCAATCATCAGTGCTTATCTTCAATACTAAGACTGATATAATGGGGTGAAAAGATATGATCACATCTTTAACTTATTATGATTCTTATTCAACATATAATAGTTATTTAATGAAATCTTTGTTTTCTTTAAAATATGATATGTTACTAGGGATGACATTGATTTATTTCAAGTAATGGTCATTCAAGATAAGGTATGTATGTAACTTATTTATAATTATTAATCAATGCCCTAGTACGGCCGATAGTGTGGAGAGTTAGCTCTCCCTCTCCAAATGCTCTCAAATGGCTAAGTGCATACAATCACTGTCAGGGACGTCCTACTCACTACCTTCTCGCGGCACGGGTGTTGTTTACGCAACTGATAGAACAAAAGCGAATTTTCAGCGCTGTAACCAGGTTGGTGGACGCATAGAACCCACCTAGGGGAGTTGGAGAACACTGATTCCAAACCAATAGGCTTCAATACCCTGAGGGAACAAATGGTGTATGAACCTATTGTTGGTCACCGGCTACCATGAGACTGCATCCCCTAACGTTGCTCTACTGCCTTGTGGATCAGACCTTTACGTCGAGGGCTCCGAGTTTGGCCCCATATGTAAACCACCTGTTTCGGTTTGGGCATTCGGGCAGTATCCCAGCCCTCACACAAATCGAATGATTTATGTGGCACATATCTATTTGGTGCCTTCGTGTACCGATGTTTATGTGTTTATATAAAATGAAATAAAATAATTTTCTACTAAAGTCGTTGTGTCTTGGGTGTTCACTTTCACCAGTCTTCCGTATTCTTACTTTAGAATCGTATGAATTATGGTGATTGCTTGTTTAAAATATAAGCAATAAGAGACTCAGATATAACAGAAAGAAAAAAACTACCACCTCCCGTGAGATATAAATCCTTATCAACCAGTTTTATGCAACCAGTTGCGTCAAAATGGAGTTATTCATATCGGGATTTCGAAGCGCTTTTACAAGGGGGGCCACATTGTAACGTGATTGATGAAATTTGATTAACATTGAGGATAAACGAAATATAAACATCGTTACTATGCATTAATCAATAAATGTAAATGACAATGATGGACAGTTTTATCGTAAAACTCTGGTTACTTCCTAACTGCCCCACCCCCTAAAGAATAATACACAAAATGTTTTGTCACTATTTGTTAGTGATTTGTACATTTTATGTTTGAATAATTCCAAAACTTAATAAACCATTTACTCTTAAACGATGAAGAAAGTATTGAAATTCATGAATAGAATTAAGACAGTTTATTCTACATCTTTCAATAAATAACTTCTGTTTGTTTGAATGTTCCCATTGATGGTTAGAACTGAAACTTTACCCCATTGCACAAACTAATGACAAACAGGACTCAGTAGCTAAGTAGATAAAGTGATGGTATTTGAAGTGAATAGTACTGGGTTCGAGTCCCAGAGTGAACATCAAATCTTTAGATGCAGGGACATCCATCTGATGAGTTCGAAATAAGATGAAACTCACGTTCAAAGTTTCACTGTTAGCCATCATCTGCCTCTGTACATAAAAGTAACTAAAACAATAAAAAAGGGTTAAATTAAAAAAAAATTGATTCCGATATTTTAATAAGGTTAAGCGTTCGCGCGCGAGACTGAAGATCCTGGATTCGAATCCCGCTAGCGGGATCGTGGATACGCACTGCTGAGGAGTCCTACAATAGGACGAAACGGCAGTCCAGTGCTTCCAGGTTTTCAATGGTAACCTAACATCAATCGGTTCATGATCTTAAAATCTTGACAATCTCCACAACCCCTAAACTGATAATTCTTTAAAAGTTTGCCTAAAAGCATCTTTTGTTGATTGAATAAATTCGTACAGATTAATCTCATTAGAAGATACTACTGAAAATCAAGAACCATTGGAATGTTATTTTATTCTATTATGAGAGTACTCAGCTACGTTTACTGATCACACCGGGGATCAAATCCAGGACATTTTGGTCTTAAATTGAACTCTTAACGAGCCACCGAGCTAACACATTACAGAGGAGTTCCATCTTGGAATGAAATATCTAGATAGTGTTCTCATGATTTTCACTGCTATTCTTAATTAGATTCATCTGTGATGAATACAGTATAAAAATATTTAGAAGATTTTAAAGGCTTACATACTTTAGTTACGTCTGTTAACCCTCGTGGAGGAGCATAGGTCACCCACCAGCCCTTTCCATTCAACTCTGCCATGGACAATTCTTTCTAGTTATCATTCATCTTTTTCATGTCTGCTTTCAATTCCCGACGCAGTGTGTTCTTTAGCCTTCCTTTTTTCCCTTTCCCCTCAGGATTTCAAGTTAGCGCTTGCCTCGTGATGCAGTTAGGTGATCTATGTAATATATGTCCTATCTACTTCCAACGTCTTTTCATAATTTCCTCAGTTGGAAGTTGGTTTGTTCTCTCCCACAGTAGGCTGTTGCAGATAGTATCCGACAAACGGGCATTGATTATCTTACGTAGACAGTTGTTTATAAATACATGTACTACTTCTAGAGTTACTGCCGGTCCCAAACCAGGGTAAACGAGGAGGGTCGGGTATGGGGTCGACAACCCCATCCCGTAGAAGATTATTAACTGTCTACTCAGTAATCAACCGATCACCAATGATTAGATACATGATTTAAGGGCTTAAACAGAAGGTGATTTACAGTTTCATAAAGATATTACATTATTTTAACCTGAATCTGTTTTTGTATGGAAAAATCAAAAGTAAAAATTATACTACTTTCAAACATAGTTAGTAGTAGTCAAATCATTTGTTCCGGGTACTTTATTTTTTCTTTGTTTTGTATGTGACAGAGTTCCAGGTGTAAAATTTGAAAATGATTGTTGTCCAGGTTATGAAAAAATTGATATATTAAATAATCAATGTGCTTTTATTGATCGTTCATGGCAAACAATTATTGATCAATTAAGGGATCAAAAAAGTTTACAAATTGCACAAATATTAACTAAAGATAATCAATTACAAGATTTATCATCTAATTCAACTAAAAATGTTTATACCATTTTTGTACCACAATATGATGATGATATTACATTGAAAGAAGCGGATTATATTAGGTAAGATTGATAAAAGTATATGTATTGTTGTGAATTTTGATGAGGCTATCATTTATAGACGAAACCAATCAGGTATCAACATTGAAGTGTACAGAACAAGCTGTGAAATGCGTATATGAAAAAATTCGAACACTTCAGTTTCTGTCTGAAGTTTGTGCTGATGATGTCGTTTAGAAGAAGAATGATGAAAGCTCCACGACTAAATCATCCAACTCACAGAACAAAACTCCACTAATCAGGCATATAAGATAATAGGTCTCGGATTTTTGGGCGCAAAATTCATTTTGTCCATTTGATTAAATACAGTCTTGACATTATAGATGATAACAGTTTGTGATGAAAATCTTAAGTCTAATTCCTAACTTTGATCATCAACTGTAAACCATAATTCTAATCACATAAACCAGTTTGTAATCTTCATTTGGTCTTAGTTGCTAGGTGGACGTTCTCAAGGTCACTACTATGACGCCTTAAAGGTCGTTTATAAATGATAGTCTCACCTGAATTTTTTATATTAATGTATTATATTGAGAAGGGAAATATGATGAAAACTGAAAACCCTAGATAACTGTTACATCATAGCTTGGGACATTTTAACAATGTTCACTTACAACACAACAGTAAACTGAACTTTCAGGCTACTAATAATTTGTAAACTCTGGAAAACTAGCTGTCCAGTGTTCTCAAGCTTTTAACTGTTTCCATTCGACATGGTGAATTATTGGGTCTGGTATTCAATCATCAAACAGTTGCTAACAAGTTTGAACTCTATTACATTGAGTTCTATTTGTGCAACTCTACAGTATTACTAACCTTCATATTTAAAACAATGCATAGAGTCGTGTATACAAATCTGCACTTCATAAATGTGTTATAGAAAACACCACCAAAAGATGAAAAACACTTTGTAGCCAAACGGAATCCCAACAAAATTATCTAAGTTGAGAAAGGGTAAAATCTTATTAGGGAGTATAATAATAATGTATAATTGGAGTTATAACTAGGTATTGGTTACTATACATCGTTTCAAATGGTATATGAGACAAGCACTGTCGTAGAAATCATCATAACAACGATGGTCTATGTATATCAGAAGAAGTTTTCTAGATATTATAGTAATTTCAATAGTTGATATCATGTGTCAATGGAAACTAGACCATCATGGAAAACCTAGAAACACTGAACGTCCGTTTTGTCCTATTGTGGGACTCCTCAGCAGTGCGCATCCATGATCTCGCCTCGTGAGATAGGAACCCAGGACCTTGAGCTTTGCATAAGCTGGATAAAGAAAGAAAACAATATCTAAAGTAATTTAGGAATCATCACCAACCTATACTGAAGTAATAAATTATGCTTTACACATACATGTCATTACATTTCTCAGTCAATAGTGCTCATCATCACCATCATCATCGCACCGGAGTCATAAATTCATTGAAATATATCTCTTTATCCTTGTTAACAATTAAATGTAATTATTAAATATTGACATTATTTTAGTGATACCAATGCTGTAGGCACAATGGTCTCTCCTGGTCGATGGTATTCAAAAGAATTTCATAATGGTCAAAAAATTCCAACCACTAAAGGTACTCATATAAAAGTGACAACATATTCTAATGGAGTAAGTTGACCAAATTGTAATACAATTCAATTGAAATAATATTAATCATAATATGGTGTGGGTTACTTATATCCATACAAGTAATATATAACGATAGTCAGGCATAGAATGTGTTTTGGTAGAAGGTGGATGAGGAAAAAAACGGAAATGGAACGCTCTGTAATTATGTACTCAAATACATTCGATTGTTCCTACTGGTGTTCTTATTTATACCTTACAATTCCTTGTAGATATTAAGATAAATTGGTAAGTTTGATGCATAATGTACATGAACTAAGTAGCCTTGGAGTTATGATGGAATAAAATTCAAAACATGAAACCACTGACCAAGGGTTTGAATGAATATATATGGTTTTCAAGAAGTATTTGACTAAACAAAATTGGAATGTAATCAATGATTGATTACTTTTATTGTTCGTAACACCTTCATGACAACATAATATAAGATATTCGAGGAAATCGAGTCTGTAAACATCTAACATCTATGAATATCACTTTTGTATTCGTTCTCTGGTTTCAAACGGATCATATAAAATATGTGACATCAGTCGAATCCTGTTTGATCTTGTGGTGGTCGGTATTCGATTTATTCCTTAAACTTCGTATACAATTCGTCTTGGTAACCGTCACTAGATATCGCTCCAACGGTATATTAATCAGAAGGCGAATACAAAGTGTTGATTACGTTTATTATGGGACCACACACACAGATATCTAAAATTACAGATGCGTTGAGCAAGCATAAAAGAGTTGTGCCGAAAAGCAAACAGGCAAGCGAGAGAGTAGGAGAGAGAGCAAGGGCAAGAGAGCCAGAGTAAGAGAGCGAGAACAATGAATATAAATAACACGGACATATATATACATAGTGAAATGAATGAATCATCGAATCAATTAGGCAGTTAATAGTAAGGCTAGTAGAACATGATATAGTTCTGTTTAGTGAAGACGCTGATAAAATGCAGAGTCTTTTGGCAGCACTGAGCTACAATGCCAGGATGTTTGGGATGCGCTTCTCTCCCTCTAAATGCAAGTTGTTGCTTCAGGACTGGTCTGCATCAACACTTGAACTAAGAATAGGGGGTGAAGTAGTCGAACGCGTTGACAACTTCACTTATCTTGGAAGTCTGATCAGCCCTAATGGGTTGGTGTCTGACGAAATCTCAGCACGGATACGAAGAGCTCGTTTGGCTTTCGCCAACTTACGTCACCTGTGGCGAAGGCGATATATCCGTCTATCAATTAAGGGACCAGTATACTGCGCGGCAGTTTGTTCCGTTCCACTATATGGCTGCGAAACATAGCCATTAAGATTAGAAGATACTCGTAAGTCATTGGTATTTGACCACAGATTCCTTCGAAATATTGCTCGCATTTGCTGGGATCACTGGGTAAGTAATAGTGAGGTTAGACGCAGGGTATTAGGGAATGATGGTAAATCAGTTGATGAGGTTATGAATCTTCATCGACTGAGATGGTTGGGCCACGTGTTGCGTATGCCTGAACACCGATTACCACGACGCGCAATGCTCACTGGTGTTAGGGATAATTGGAAGAAAGTTAGGGGAGGCCAAATCAAAACGTGGCATCAGTGCTTGAAGTCACTAACTTCTAGTCTTAGTCATGTTGGTAGATGCAAACTACTTGATTGAGTTCCGCGTGATTATCACAAACAATGGTTAGAGACTCTTGGTATCATGGCTCAGAATCGATCAGAACTTGAATTCAACAATTGATTAGTATTTATTACTACTGGTTCTTTGGATCTGAATACACAGAAGCAAACAAGCGAGTAAAGAGGAGCATCAGAACTGACAAACGTAAATATGTGGAAGATTTAGCAATGACGGCGGAAAAGGCTGCAAGACAAGGAAACATGAGACAACTATATGGAAACCACCTTAAACCAGAACGACCAGTGAAAAAGCAAGGAAGGCAAAGCAATCACCAACACTGAAGAACAACCAAACAGGTGGGTGGAACACTTCAAAGAACTCTTGAATCGACCAGCTCCACTGAACCCACCCAACATCCAATCAGCACTCACGGACCTCCAAATCGATATTGGCCCACCAACAATTGAAGAAATCAGCATGGCCATCTGACAAACCAAGTATGTCAAAGCAGCAGGACCAGACAAAATTCCAGCAGAAGTACTGAAAGTAGACGTGGCATTGACTGCAAAAATATTCCATATTATCTTCAGCAAGATATGAGATGAGTAACAAGTACCAAAAGACTGGAAAGAAGGACTTCTGGTCAAAATGCCAAAGAAAGGCGATTTCAGCAACTGTGAGAACTACAGGAGCATCACTCTTCTCTCAATACCAGGAAAAGTTTTCAACAGGGTATTGTTAAACAGGATGAAGGAGTCCGTAGACACCCAAATTCGAGACCAACAGGCTGGATTCCGTAAGGATAGGTCTTGTACACACCAATTCGCAACACTACTGATCACTGTGGAATAATCAATTGTATGGAATTCATCACTCTACATCAACATCATTGACTATGAGAAAGCATTTGATGACGTGGATAAGACAACACTATGGAAGCTTCTTCGACATTAAGGCGTGCCTGAGAAGATAGTCAATATCATACGGAATTCTTATGATGGGTTAAATTGCAAAATCTTGCATGGACGATAGGTCACAAACCACCCAGTGATCAATTAATCGTGATTACATCTCAGTCCTACAAGAGGTTGGTAGCATCCCGGATAGCCCAATGGTAACGTCTCTGACTGTGAAATTCGGTGACACGGAGTCGAATCCATCAGGGAGCACCAGTTCCCTCAAGATTACAGATACACCTTGCTAACGAGTGCCTAGTAGCACGAAACCCGGGTCCAACCACCGTCTAATTGCTAACTACTATCTATCTTTACTTACAAAACTCACATTGTTATGAATACATATATGTATATATGTACCAAATAATGAAGAGAATACAAAAGGTGAATTAACTAGTTTAAAACATTTTACATAATGATAATAATAGTGAAATGATTGTCCTATTATCAATGTATCATTGTATATAATCATCAGTTAGTTATAAATCCATCTATTTTAATGAAACCATATAGAGACAGTTATATGTCATATACTTAGATGGTAGTTACTTCCCCCCTCCCCCCCCCAAAAAAAATTTTAAAAAATAATTCAATTTTCATTAATTCACCATAGTGATAAAGGTTTAATTGAACTAAACTTTGGATAATTCATTGTAATTGATCATTCATTAAATTAGTTTACATTTTATTTAACTTTATTATTATTCATAATAATAATAATTATTATTATTATAAATTATTATATATAATGATAATGCTAAACAGAGAAATATACTTACTAAAAAAATGTATAAATTAATCACTAAGGTAGCAACTATCATCCTGAAATCAATTTTGATTATGGTTACATTTGGATTAAACTATTTATTGATTGACTTAGTGAATAGACAATGTTATTTGAATGGTAACAAATCGTTTATTTCTTTGCACTGTTATGGTGTGTGCTCTCAAATACCCTGGTACAGCCGAGAGTGGGGAGAGTCTTCTCTCCCTTTCCAAATGCTCTCACATGGTCACATGTATATAGCATCTGCCAGGGAAATCCTACTCATTGCATTCTCGTGGCATTACTATTGTTTACGAAATTCAGAGGACGAAAAGAGAGTGTCCAGCGTTTTAACCTGGTTGGAACACCCTGATTCCAAACCAATGGTGCACATGGGCTCCAGTATCCTGACGGTACAAATGGCGTATGAACCAATTATTGATCACTATATACCATGGGACTGCATCATGTGACGTTGCTCCATTGCCTTGTGGATCAGACCTTTAGGTCGAAGGCTCCGGGTGTGGCCCCCTAAACAAACCACTTGGTTTAGTATGGGCACTCAGACAGTATCACAGCCCTCACACAAATCAAATGAGATTTGTGCGGCGCATATGTATTTTGTGCCTCGTTGCTTTGCTTTGCTGTGCCTTTATACGATTTGATTATAAATTTGCCTATGTAATTGGATGTATATATTTATTCTCCTTTCCACTTCAAATACGCTTGATGTGTTTATAGCTTTGTGACCTATGCCATTCGTTAATAAACTGTAGTTGCCACTTCTCACTGCCTTCTAATTTTAAAAACCGTTGGCGATCTATATTATAACGATTATTGAGGTATGTAAGTCTAATCCTAATAAACTTCGACAGCTTATCAACACAACATTTATACTTGCTCACAGTTAGCTAGTGGGCCTCGTTGGGCTTCCACGATATGGAGTCATAGCTCTTCTAAATGAAAACCTTCTAACTCCTAGGGCAGAGTTTAAATGGTTTGAATTGTTTTTTTTCCCGTTGGCACATTTTTTATCGAGTTAGATTTCTATGCGATGGGGTCGTTAACCCCATCTCCAACCCTCCTCCTTTATTCGGGCTTGGGAGCGTTTGTAACCCAAGAGGGGCTCTAGGCGGAGTTAAGTAAGTAGAATTATTGATGTGATTGATCAAAGAAACAAAGCCACTACAATTATCCGAAAAACTGAAGTATATATCTTCCGAAAACATCTAAGATGACCGACTTGTTCTGGTGGATTATTCAACTTGAACAAAACAGAGAGTATTTGATAATGATCAAACTATGTTAAGAATTAACTAAAATTAAAAAAAATCTGAACTGGTTAAACGAAATGTATCACACTTATCACGAAACTTGTAGGTTGATAATTCAATATGTATAGGGTTAAGAAGTTTCATATAAATATAAAACAATAGTTAAAGAAGGGCTTTTGTGGTAATTATAGTAATTTCAATGGTTGAGATCATGAGTGAATTGAAGCTAGACCACCATAGAAAACCTGGAAGCACTGGTTAAAGTCAGACATTAACACCGTTGGATGCCGGTTGGCCCAATCATCAAGTGGTTAAGCGCTCGCGCCTCAGACTGATAGGTCCTGAGTTCGAATCTCTCGGGGAGGGTGAGATCGTGGATGCGCAGTGCTCAGGAGTCTCACACTAGGACGAAACGTCCATCCAGTGTTTCCAGGTCTTCCATGGTGGTCTAGTTTCAATTGATTGATGATATTAACCATTGAGATTACTATAATATCCATAAAAACCCTTTTCTGATTATAATCATCCTATGCTCACTGGTGACGTTCTCCAAGAGGAATCTCGCAAGTCGAGGTCGTGGTAAAAACAATAGTTCATTACTTTTTAGGTTATCAGTAATTTTCTAACTGATATTAGGTTTTGAAGAAAACTATCTTCAAATTGGGTTTTTTTTCAAACGAATTCTAGATCTCCTACTAAGACCCAATGCATAATATTCGTTGCTATGAGCGATACAAAGTTATTCTTTAATATATTGATTCAAGAGGAGATGATTTCAACTGTGAACTATAGTTTATCATTTTCTTAATATATTTTAAGGCAATTCGCATTGTATTCGTACTACTGATGAAAATATTACTATTTCTATGTGATGGTGGAGAAGATTTATAGCTCAGGTGGATGATTTTGATGGAGTTTTGTTCTTTCAGCTAGATGATTTATTCGTGGAGCTTTCATCGTTCTTCTGAACAGCATCATCAGCACAAACTTCAGATAGAAGTGAAATATCAACAAGAATCAATCAACATCGAGGTTTACAGGACAAGCTATGTATCACATATGGATATCGTTCAGAAGAATGATGAAAGCTTCACGACCAAATCATCTAGCTATTTCTATGTATTTCCATTACAAGTACATCTTCATTATTGTTTCAGTGAATCATTGTACAGTGGTTTCTTGACCAATTCAATTAAGATTAATATTCATAGATAGTTGAAATGACTCAGTGAATGATGTATAGGCAATAAACTTTTATTAAGCGAATCATTCACTTGTATACATGTACATTAAACGGTACTGTTTTAACGTATCGTTTGATCATTGTGACTTTGTTGTAAATATCTAAATGTGTGTGTGTATATATATATACAGCGCTAAATTGCATCGATACTAAAGAAATATGGTAAATAGTGTATTGTGTAATAATTTAAATAATTGAATAACAAGAGAACAGTTGTCTACGTAAAGTACTTCGGATCCATTGACCAGACACTATCGGCAACAACCTACTATGGGAGAGTACAAACCAGATTCCAGTGAAGGAAAAAATCAGGAAGAAGTACTGGAAGTGGATAGGATACATATTGTGGAAAGCACCCAACTGTTTCACAAGACCAAGCCTTTATTCGGAATTCTCAAGGCCGAAGGAGGAGAGGAAGTCCAATAAACACATTACGTTGGGAAATGGAGATAGATATGAGAAAAATGAACAAAAATTAGATATAATTAAAAAAGATGGCCGTGGGCAGAATAGGTTGTAGAATGCTGGTTGATAGCCTATGCTCCATTTAGGGGTAATAGGCATCATATATCTAAGTAAGTAATTTAGTTAACTTATCATTAACAAATAGAAGTGAAATAGTTTACTGATTATATGATGAATGAAAAACTATAAAATGAACATTCTATTTCACCTAATGAAAGTGTAACATGACTGGGACTAATCTACGTTTAAATGTAAAATTGATTTTTTTTTTGTTTCTATTCATTGTCTAGTTTTCTTCATATAACACTTCAATTTATTTTTTAGTTAACTTTCTTAGATTGTAAAACGTTACTAAGTCCAGATCATGAAGCATCAAATGGTTTAATTCATCGAATCGATGGAGTAAGTTAAATAAACATAATGATATATAGTTTCTCTTCTTTAATTCAATATTTCAATGCTTATGTCATTATGTGATTACATGCTAAACTTTACTGACAGATTAATGACAAATCAATCACTGGTAAATGAAATAGATTTATCAGTATTGGGATTGTGGAGATTATTCAGTTTTTAATTGAGATTATGAATCGACTGATGTTAGACCACCGTTAGAAACCTGGAAGCACTGAACGGCCGTTTCGTCCTAGTATGGGACTCCTCAACAGTGCGCATCCGCGATCCCAAGGCCTTCAGTCTCGAGTAGAGACAGGTATCTACCTCAGTACAATGGAAGATGGTTGCGAAATTTCGTGGATTGGTTGATGTTAGACACTAACACCATTGGGTGCCGGCTCAGTGATCCAGTAGGTTAAGCGTTCGCGCGCGAGACTGAAGGCCCTGGGTTGGAATCCCGCGAGCGAGATCGTGAATGCGCACGGCTGAGGAGTCCCATACTAGGACGAAACGGTCGTCCAGTGCTTCCAGGTTTCCAACGGTGGTTTAATATCAGTCGATTCATGATCTTAATCAAAAACGAAATAGATTTACTTGACATTAAAACTAACCGTGAATTAAGCAAATGTAGAATAGTGGCTAGCAGTGGAATCGAGTTTGACACATGTTTAGTCCTATTTGGAACTCATCAGCTGGATGTACCTGTATCGCAGAGTTGATGTTTACTCCGTGACTTGAACCTAGTACCGTTCGCTTCAAATAGGACAAAAACGTGCGTTAAATTGGATTCCACTGCTAGCCACTATCCATCTTTGCTCAAAAAGTTTGTGACTTAAGGTAATATTGAGGTACATATACTAACAAGAGACTGATCAATTGCAATCCTAAATAACAATGTGAAAATACAAGTAAAACAACATCAAGTGAATTTGACTGTGAATTAGATATTAGTAATTACATACACTGTACGTGTATAAATTTGAAGAACCATTTCAAATCATTTACAATCATTTACAATTGATTGATCACTGGGTAGCGATCAATGTCATGTATGTCAGGTCCTTCTTAGATTCTAGAAAATCACATCTAGCGGAGATAAACGTGCATATTCTTATGAATGTATGTTGTAACATATATTCAACACTTCTTATTTCTTGATAGTAGATTTCTAATTAATGTCAGTCCAAGGTTAAAGTCACCTGGATATGATATAATACAGTAAAGTTTTTACATATTTTAATGGCCTCATATCGGACTTCAGTTAAATCGTATGTTTATTATTATCGAAATATACATACCACTAACCCAACCATCATCATATCTTAACACAGTGCATACAATTTCGAATCACCTAGACTAGTAGCCATATTGTAACTTGGTCGATAGGATTCAATCTACACTAAGAACAATCTGACATACATGACATTGATCATCATCCAGTAATTAATTAATTACAAATACATCTCTATCTTACAGGAGGTAAGTCACGGCCTAGATAGCTTAGTGGTAACGTCTCTGATTGTGAATGTAATGAGTAAAGTTGAAAGATTACATAAAAAAATGGGATAAACTTATCATATTGTTGAATGATTAAGAATCAATATTATTAAATCAATATATGACTCAATCTTAACTGACATGATAGTGATAATGATCATTATGTTAAGACAGAGGTAACATTTTCTGTCATATATGTGATGACGAATATTTTAATATTCATTTATTTGAACACATAAATGATGGTAGAATGAGGCACCGAATACATATGCGCCACATAAGTCACTTGATTTGTGTGTGGGATAGGATACTGTTTGAGTTCCCAGACTGAAGCAGTTGGTTTATTTAAAGGACCACACCCGGAACCTTCGACCTAAAGGTCTGATCCATAACGCAGTGTAGCTAGGTCAGGAGATGCAGTCCCATGATAGCCAGTGACCAGTAATTGATTCATACGCCATTTGTTCCCTCAGGATACTGGAGCCGATACGCACCATTGGTTTGGAATCAGGGTATTCCTAATCCGCTCTGTGGATCCTCCATACCCACAAACCTGGCTAAAGCGCTGAACATTCGCTTTTCGTCCTCTTAATTTCGTAGAAAACACCCGTGGTATCGGAAAGCAATGAATAAGACTTCCTTGGCAGTGACTGCCTATAAGGAAGCATATCGAGAGGGAAGGCGGACGATCCCCATCTTAGACCGTACCAAGGCATTTGAATACATAATTATTAGTACAAAGGGGCCACAGTCTAGTCCGGTCTAAATGACTTAAATGAGATACTGCCTTGGGGTTATGCTCAGGTCATAGCTTGATGACATGATAGTTTATTAGTAAGTCAATGATTAGCCTTTCATCTCATACAAGAAATAATAAATACATTAATACCGTTACATGCCGGCCGGCTCATTCGTCTAGTGGTTAAGCGCTCGCGCACGAGACTGATAGGTCCTGAGTTCGAATCTCATGAGGCGGGATCGTAGATGCATACTGTTGAGAAGTCCCACAATAGAACGAAACGGCCCTCCAGTTCTTACAGGTTTTACATATTGGTCTAGTTTCAATCGACTCATGATCTCAACCATTAAAATTACTATAATAATATCAAATTGAAGAAATCTGACTTAGCTATTCATAAGACAATCAATAATCAATGATGATATGCACTAGCTTCATGATAGATAATAATTCTCAGTTTAAAAATTGTGGAGATTGTTAAGTTTTCGATTAAGATCATGAATCGATTGATGTGAGACCACCATTGAAAACCTAGAAGCATTGGATAACCGTCTTGTTCTATTGTGGAACTCCTCAGCAGTACGCGTCCACTATCCCGATCACCAATTCAGTGGTTCATTAGATTAAGCATTCGCGGGCAAAACTGAGGGCCCTGGGTACGAATCCCATGAACGAGATCGTGAATGCACACTGTTGAGAAGTCCCATAATAGGATGAGTTAACCATCCATCATTTACCTAAGTACTTTTATAAATAGACCCTAATAAATAAGTTATAATATCTATGTTTCTTTATACATTTTTATTGTATTAAGGTTCTTCCACCTACATATAAATATCCAACAGTTTTAAAACGTTTAACCACTGAATCAGATCTATCATTATTTGTTCAAAGTTTACCACAAGATTTAAAAAGAAAATTAGATGAACCAGATTCAATGGAATGGTATACAGTATTTGCAGTACCAAATAATATTTGGAATAAAATCACATCAGGAATTGTTTCAACAGAAGTAAGTATACATTTCTATTTGTACAATGTCATAGATGAAGTTATATAAATAGATCATAGTGAACATTATCCATTGACTCATTGATTTATTAGAGATAACTTTGTCATATAGACTGTTAATGATATAAACAATTAAAGGTATGAATTCATAAACATAACATTGAAGTGTACAGGACAAGCTGTGAATTCTATGTGGAAAAATTCAAACACTACAAACTTCTATCTGAAGTTTATGCTGATAATGTTGTTTAGAAGAAGAAGAATGATGATGATGATGATGAAAACTATACAATCAAATGATCATTTAGCTCCGTGAATAAAACTCTATTCAAATCATTCATTTGAGCTATAAATCTTCTTTACTATCTCATTAACACATGAATTTGTGCTACATACTTTTGTAATATAAAGTTTAGTGATATTTTTCAGATGTTAGAAAGAAAGTAGACTTAGAGATATTATTCTAAAACCACTTACTTACTTACTTACTTACTTATGCCTGTTACTCTCAACGGAGCATAGGCCACCGATCAGCGCCTTCTAACTTACTCTGTCCTCAGCTTTCTTTTCTAGTTCCACCCAATTCTTGTTCATTTTTCTCATATCTATCTCAATTTCTTGGTCTAATATGTACTTTTGTCTTCCTCTTCTCCTCATTTGGTATTGAGGATTCTATGTGAAGGCTTGTTTTGTGACGCAGTTCTGTGATTTCCTCAATGCATTCCCTATCCACTTCCAGTGATTCTTCCTTCGGTGGGGTCTGGTTTGTTCTATCTCATAGTAGGTTGTTGCTGATAATGTCTGATCAACGGATCCGAAGTATTTTGCGTAGACAACTGTTAATAAACATTTGTATCTTCTAGATGATGGCTTTCCTAGTTCTCCAGGTTTCCATCCCATACAATAGAACTGTCTTGACATTAGTATTGAAAATCCTGACCTTGGTGTTGTTTAGAAGTTGTTTTGAGTTGCAGATGTTCTTCAGTTGTAAATATACTTCTGAAGTCACTAACAAAAACAAAACATTAGATGGTGGTTGGAAGTAGTCGACAGGAAACTCTGGACATGGTCGATAGCATTCGATCTGCACTAAGAAGGATTAAACACGCATGACATTGATCACCACTCAGGGATCAATCAATTATGAAAAACAAAACATTTCGTATCATAGATTATATAATAGATCTTCTGTTTTATTATTGATTAGTAGTAATGAAGAAAGGTATATTTATCTGATCTTCAGCAGGTTTAAATACTAAATCTTACGGAATCTTAATTAGTTTTTAGGCTTAAAAGTTGTAGTGAACAATTTAGCTTTAGACGTTTACATTTCATTAGTATTATTATTATCATCACATAAGAATATCTATTCCTTGTTAAGAAGAAGTTGTGAATTTTATACTCAATCTTTAAAGTTAAATGTTCACTTGAGTTGATCTAAAATCTTTTAAATGGATGCCGGTTCAATGGTCTGGAAGTTAAGCAACCGTGCACAAGACTGATAGGTCCTAAGTTGGAATCTAACGGCACGAGATCGTAGAAACACACTGCCGAAGAGTCCCATACTGGAACGAAACAGCTATCTACTGCTATCAACTTTCCCATGATAGTCTAACTTCAATTGATTCATGAATTCAACTATTAAATTACTATCATATATCCACAAAACTCCTCTCGGATTATACAGATGATTTACTTGTTGTAAATCTTCTCATTACTTGATTATATATGTGAATAATATCATTCCTTTTCTCTTTTTTTTTTCTAAGATCAAAGAAGCTTTAGCACGGCAGCATGTCATGAATAAAATGCTTTGTTCAGATGCAATTGTTAAAAATACTAAACGTGTGGGTCCAACATTAGCTGAAACCTATATTGGTATTCAAAGAAATTCTAATGGAAATTTAATAATTAATGATATATGCAATAAACAAATACCTATTCAACGTACAGATTTAATGTCTGGTACTGGAGTTATACACATTATTGAAAATTCAATAAGCAGTTTAGAATGTAAGTAAAATTTTATACTTTACTAATACTACTACTTCTATTACATCGTCGTCGTCGTCGTCGAGTCCCGTGACCTTTGTTGTGAGATGAGACCAATAACCGTACAGCTAAGCCTTATTTATTATTATTATTATCATTATTATTATTATTTTAACACATAGATATTGGTACAAGGAGGCACCAAATAAATATGCTCCACACAGATCTCATTTGATATGTGTGAGGGCTGTAATACTGTCCGGCTGCCCAAACCGAACCAGGTGGTTTGCTTAGGGGGCCACACCCCGAGCCTTTGACCTAAAAGTCTAACCCACAAGGCAGTGGAGCATTGTGAGGAGATACATTCCTATGGTAGCCGGTGACCAACGATTGGTTCATACGCCACTTGTTCCCTCAAGATACTGGAGCCCATGTGCACCATTGATTTGAAATCAGGGTTTTCTAACCAGGTTAAAGCGCCGGACATTCGCTTTTCGTCCTCTCATTTTCGTAAACAACACCTGTGGCACGAGAATGCAATGAGTAGGACTTCCCTGACAGAGGCTATATACGCGTGGCCACGTGAGAACATTTGGAGAGGGAGAGCAAACTCTCCCCACTCTCGGCCGTACCAGGGCATTTGGCGGGCACATATAAGCCTAGTGCTCACCCAACCAGACCAACCGCTCAGCACCGCATACATCTCCAGAGCCATATACAGTACTTCTCCGCAGATATGACATGGCGATCGGGTAAGAAACCCGCACTTGGCGGGTAAAAGTCTCTCTCCAGAGCCCGGGGAAGTCTCCCAGAATGAGTGAGTGACTTTTGTTGCACTCTTACACATCAATCAGAACTCTGAGATAACCACCGGTCCGCGACTACTACTACTATACTAACTAATTATTAAGTAGTAAATAGTATATTGTTGTCTAGACTTCAGTTATGGGGTATACAGATAACGAAATCTTTACTGGTGTCTTAATAAATATCATCTAATTACATTGTAGAAATCCATCAGTGATCACATTGAAATCTGTGTTAGAAATTATTAAGCTAGTAAGATCTATACATTGAAATGAGTAGCATTTAACGGCTTACTATATGATTGCATAATATAAATTAAGTATAACCCTACATGTAGTATGTCTCTTGATCTAGTACTATAGATTGTAATATCATATATATATCGTTCTTACATATTCTTGATGGAATAATCTTTCTCTTAAGCAATGAAATTAAATGAAGCTCTTGAATGCTTAGAAAATAATCCTTCATTCAGTGTTAAACAAGCTGCCAGTGAAATGCGTAAATGTCAAATAGATCTTGGAGGTGGTCGTGATAATGTTATACTTTTATCGAATGATGCAGCTTTTCAATGTAAGTAAATCTATTTATGATATAAACTAATATAGAGATAATTTCTAAGTATAATTTTAAGAGTTCAGTCAGTCAGTCAGTCAGTCAGTCAGTCAGCAACAACGTAGAACTTCGTAGGTATGTACGTACGTACATCAGTTCGAGTTGCCATACCACATTAGCACAGAGATATAATTGTCGATTCAAATCCCATAGTAGTAGAGGTGTTAAGATTATAAGCAGTAATCGAAAACACTAGGGTTAACATTTAGATTTCATCCTATTTTAAGTTTGTTAAAATTCTTTAGGCGAGACTAGAATTTATGGATAAACCAATCTGATTTAAGATAATAGGTCTTGGATTTCGGCGCGAAATTCACTCATCCATAGCGTTTTGCCATTTTAGCTGATGTCAATTCATGATGAAAACCCTAAATCTAAATCCTTACCCTTACTATCAACTGTAAATCATTGTCTTTATTCTTCAAACTGCTTTATAACCTTCATTTAGTCCTCGTTAATAGGTGGACATTCTCAGGGTCACTTTAGCGTCGTTCAAAGGTCGCTCATAAATTATAGTCTCACTATTCTTTTTAGTAACTATTCTACAAACATCCTTACCGTAATCTGATATAAAAATATCCAAGGTAGATGTCGACTATCCTATTCATTATCTAATATCTTTCTCCCTCCTTTCTTTGTTCACTAAACATGAAACTAATGTTTAACAGAAGCAATTAGCCAATGATTTTCATTGTAAATTAATACCAACTGGCTAATTACAGATAGTAAACAGTTTTGAGTAGGTGAAGATGGAAGGTATCTAGCAATGGAATCCACGATGCGTGTTTCATCCTATTTGAAACTCATCAGCTGAATGTAGCCAAGTGGATAACGCGATAGCGTTTAAGGCGAACGGTAATGGATTTGATTACTGGAGTGAACATTATTGTGACTTTATGTCTGGCTTTTTATCATGTGATTTATCCACCAATCAAAATACGACTTATACAATCTTAGCACTGTGCCAAACCAATGACGTTCAACCAGTATGAGCAGCCTAGCGTCCTTATTGATCCCATGTTCACCTAGCCCGTCCACTTGAGTCCAGAACACCAATATCAGCTTCCACTATGCGAATCGAATCGAATCTAATCATTTATTTTAGACATACTGGGTTTATATATCAACCAAACAGGCTTCAACGCACCATAAAATAAGGGAATAACATTTGTACACAATAAAGCCAAAATGTGGCTGTGAACGTGAGAGGCAGTAGTTAATAAACTGAGTATAACTTAAGAACAGTAAATTGTACAATAATAATCCATAAGTCAAAATGAAGCTTATAATAAGAGGAATATAAATATATATAGCTTAATTATTGAATAAGAATATTAGTTTATTGATAGTCTTCGGGAGTTACTCGTAATTTAATCTTCACTAGGATATAACAAACATCAACTCAGATGCAGGCACATCCAACTGATGAATCCCAGATAGAACGAAACAAGTGTACTTGATTCCATTGCTAACTATCATTCATCTTTGCTTATAATGCTTGTGAATTAAGACAATATCGAGACAGTTCGCACAGATCGCCCATATGCTGACAAGAGACTAATCAATTATCGTCCTAAACAACAATGAGAAGATACATGCAAATAATACCAAGTGAAGTGTCGAATCAGTACCCTTTTAGTTAAAACCTCCTAAATAACTTGCGCAATACATTAAATCTAACCCATGATCTTTAGGTCTTACAGTGAGCATTAGATGAGTGGGAAGTCCTTACCCGTGGTATTTAGACCATGGTTCAAAATGACTTTCAGATCATTCTAAACCATTTATCTTGGAATGAATTGTTTCATTGTTTGTGTAGTGTTATAAACGGTAGTTATATATGGGAATAACAAAGAAATCACGTATCTAAAATGAAGTTCATAACTATTTTGATAATACTACTTGAACTTTAGTAATTGATCATGAACGTTTCGGAATCTGAACAGGTTGTTTCATTAGAATCCATCAACACGATTGATAAATCTTCTAATGAATTTATACCAAATAATTGAGTTCATCATGAAATCCAAAACCCAAATAAATATTTTATCAATTTATTTGAACACATAAATGTTGGTACAAAGAAGCACCGAATACATATGCGCCACATAAGTCACTTAATTTGTCTATAGGCTGTGATAGTGCTCGGACGCATGAACCAAAACAGGTGGTTTTCTTAGGAGCCCACGTCCGAAACCTTCTACCTAAAGGCATAATACACAAGACAGTGGAGTAATGTAAGAAGATGCAGTCCCATGGTAGCCGGTGACCAGTAATGGATTCATACGCCATTTGTTCCGTCAGGATACTGGAGCCCATGCGCACCATTGATTAAGAATCAGGGTTTTTCAACACTCGCTTATCGTCCTCTTATTTCCGTAAACAACACCCGTGGTTCAAGAAGGCAGTGAGTCGGATTTCCCTGATAGTGGCTGTATAGGTGTGGCCATGTGAGAGCACCCTCACCCGTACCACAATATTTTGGAAACCTTACCTAGTCAAATGTCTGAGGCGTTTTCGGACACCAAGGTATGACTAACGAAGAAAATTTTCCTCCAATGTTGCATAAGTATTTATCACCAAAAACCTACTATAAATAAAATGATACTCAGGAGCTGTTTCACATTCAGTAACATCACATGTTTAATTGAAGCGAGAACTTTGTATACTAAATCGAGGAACTCTCATAAGCAAACAAATATTCAACGAAGTGAAACATGAAATGAAAACAAACTATTAACAAAGTTAAGAGAATCCAATTAGAATAATTAAACTAATTTAAAGATCATGAATAAAACTATGCGTTATCAAAATGATTGAGAACGATATTAGTTACTGAATATTAATAAGTAGTCTAGTCAATAAAGATAAAAAAGTGAAAGATGTAATCGATAATGACGATTAGCGATTAAAACTCGAAATCTATCCTATTATCCTATTAAATAAATGAATACCCGAGGTTAAAACAATCGATATGAAGCAATTGTAATCTTTCAGTGAAATGACAGACATTTTATATATAAGTAAAAATGAATGGTGGCCAGTAGTGGAATACAGGATATGAGTTTTGTTTTATTTGGGACTCATCAGCTGAATTCACCTGAATCCCAGAGACTGACCAAGTTCAATCCTAAACAACCAATATACATCTCATATATAGTTTTTATCACAAAAAAATATGGTAAAGGTCATTAACACTATCAATGAATATAGGAAAGTAGTTTATTTTATGTTATTTCATCAATCAATAAATTGAAGACGTGATTATAAAGTTCATACAAGTAAATAATATCAAGTGAATATAATTTCACCCCTTTACACAAGCTACTGGCTATCAGGACTCAGTAGTTAAGTGAATAACGTGATGGTGTTTAAAGCGAACGGTACTGGTTTCGAGTTCCAGAGTGAACATCAACCCTATAGATGCAGGTATATCCAACTGACGAGTCTCAAATAAGACGAAACGCTCATCAAACCAGATTTCACTGCCATCCACTATCCATCTTTGTTTAGAATGCTTCTAAATCAAGGCAATATCATAGCAATCCGTACAAGATGCACATATGCCAACAAGTGATTGATCAATTGTAGTTACATAATATATTGACAAAATGTACTTTATTTTCAATGATTAAGATCATCAGTCAGTTGAAGCTAGATCACCATGAGAAACCTGGGTGCGCTGAACGGCCGTCTCGTCCTATTATGGGACTCCTCAGCAGTGCGCATCCACATTCAAACCCAGGACCTACTGGTTTCGCGCGCGAGCACTTAATTACTAGACCACTGACCTGGCATCCAACGGTGTTAATGTCTAACTTCAACTAATCCACGAAATTGAGTGAAACATCCACCATTGTCTTCAGTGAGTTACTATCCCACAACAGACCTGGTTGAACTCTACTGGTCACTACTTCTCACGAGAACTCCAGGATATACCTCTTGAAGCCAGTCACTAGTGAGCAGGGGGCGAGGTCGTGGATGCGCACTGACACGGAGAAGTCCCATAATGAAACGAAACAGCCGTCCAGTGCTTCCAGGTTCTCTATGGTGGTCTAGCTTCAACTGACTCATGACCTTAATCATTGAAATTACTACAATCTCCACAAAACGCCTTCTGATATTACTTTATTTTGTTTTTGTTTTTTGTTTTTTGTTTTTTACACTTCTCTTTAGCTAAATTCTATAAAGAGAATATAAGACAACAAATACAATTAGATAAATGTAAATTATATTTACATCATTTATTAAAAATAAAAAATCCTCAAAATGTTGATGCATATAAAACAGGTTTTAATCAAGAACAAGAATTTACAACACAATATTCAACATTAGATGGTTCTAAATATTCTGTTTATAGTAGATATATTAAAACAAGACATGGTACTAAAGTAAGTAAATCATGTATAGTATTATTTATGATGATGATGATGATGATCATTATTATTATTATTAAGGTATTACCAGTTTATACTACTATATCCTAATGATTAATCTGACAAGTTTACTGTGGTGATCTCATGGAGAACATTCGATTCATACTTGATTGGAATCTCTTAGAACTCCGTCTGGATTCTCTCTGGCAGTTAATGCCAGTCTCAAGTCCGGATAAAGGAGGAGGGTTGAGCATGGGATTAACGACTCCATCTCTTAGAAAACTAACTCGTTAAAAAGAAACACTAACCAGAATATCTTAAAGATGTTCATTAACAACTACACATAGGATTGAGTCTATCACTTGTATTCCATTAAAATAAATCTCATTCCGATCAAATCAGTCAATTAATATTTAATGTCTTATATATTCAGTTTCAGTCGACCGAAATTTTGTTGTTATTTTGTGAATAGATAAAATGTTTGTATGTTACCATAAGAGTTGTAGTGTTTATTACTTACTTAATGTTATAATTTGTGACCTGAGTGCCGTGCTAATATATACGTAGCGATACTGCCAATTATCGATCGGACCAATAACGCGTTAAAACTCGTATGAGCAGTCTACAGTCGTTATTGGTCTTTCTTTCCACCTAGTTCAGCCAGTTAAGTCCAGAACACAAATCTCAGACTCTGCAATATGAATCATTTATTTCAAGCATACTGGGTTTATATATTGACCAGACAGACCACATCATACCATAAAACAACATTTGTACAAGATTTAGTCAAATGTGGCTGTGAATATGGGACTCAGTGACTAATAAACAGGGTATAATTCAACAATGGTAAAACGTATAGTAATAGTTCATAGGTCAAAATAAACCTCATAATAAGAGGAATATGAATATGAATAGTTAGTTATTTAAAACAATTATACAATAAAAATATACGTACAGTATTGGTCCATAAAATGGATCTCCAAAGTTACCATTCATTATGCTTACCGGAACATAACACTTAAGAAATCTTTTTTGAGGGTAATAATAATAACTAATTAAAGTTTAAAATTCAATAATAATTAAATAAAAGTAAAGAAGAAAGGAAAAGTAAAAGAAAATCCAAAACATAGAAACGCCAAGAAAAAATGAAAGGTTGGACGAATCGATTTAATTACTACTACTACTACAAAGTTTATGCTTGAGTTGATAAATTGTCAATACCTCAATAGTGCATGAAATATTGATTTGACACCCCTTCAATCTAATTCCAAGTTCAAACATTATATAATGAAAGTATGTAATGATGTTAGATACAATTGTGAATTACAACTAAACATCAAACAGAAAGCGTTCTAATCTATTCCATTGAGAAAAATAAAAAACTTATGTTGTAATGGTAACAATCTGTCTATTTTACTATCAGACTGATAGGTCCTTGGTTCGAATCCCTCGAGGCTAGGTCTTGGATGCTCACTGTTGAAGAGTTTCATAATTGGACGAAACGGTTATCCAGTACTTTCAAGTTTTCCATAATAGTCTAGCTTTAATTGACTCATAATCTCAACTATTGAAACTACTTTCTATTTTACTTTAAATGGAAATACTGCACATTTTATTCTCTTTCTGTCATATATTACAGTTAACCTTTAATCATGCTGAAGCAACCGATTTACATCCAATAAAATTTCATGATGGAGTTATTCATATTGTAAAACAAGTAAATTTACCACCACAAGGTGATATCTCTTCTTTGATTCAACAAAAATCAAATACAAAGTAAGTTAATAGTTTATCAGTACTTATGATTGATTGTGTTTGGTTTATTTGTTTAAGCATACAAGTATTGATACAATGGGGTACCAAATACATATGCTCCATGTTATAACTTGTGACCTTGAGCCAGACCAATTAGAGAACAGTGGCTTATCGACTGGACCAATGATACATCAAACTCGTACAAGCAGTTGAGAGTCCTTATCGATCCTGTTTCCTGCCTAACCCTACCTGTTAAGTTTAGAACATCAATCTCAGCCTCTGCAGTATGAATCATGTATTTCAAACATACGGGGTTCATATGCAAACCAAACAAACCATATCGTACTAGAAAATAAAAAACAGCATTTGTACAGGATCTAGCCAAAAGTGGCTGTAAATGTGGGAGATAGTAATTGTGAATGATACATGGTATAATAATAGTTCATAGGTCAAACTAAAGCTTATGATAAGAGGAACATGAATATGAACAGTTTAGTTATTTAACATCGGAAAATAATGCACGATATGGAATTCTCTAGGATGACATTCCTAGAACATATCCAGAGCACCGATGTCGATGTTTCAAGAGAGTGACACTAAGTAAATTATCGTCACTGTTACCGGACTTACGATGTTCAACCTCTGCATAACTAACATACTGTTGCCACTAGATGTCAGCAACCCTTCGGCCACAATGTTAATCAAACACAGAGAGTTGTCTAACATCCTCAACTCGGAGAGGTCAGGTTTCACAAGCATAAAACAAAACTCTTCTCACCAACGTATTATAAATCCTACCTTTTACATCCAAACTAACATCATAAAAATACCTAAAATGATTCAAATTAACATTATCCTCTCTAGTTTTCATCATTCACCCTATCCAGATATATAAACATTTCGACTACTTCTATGAATAGTCAATTCTACACTATACCTAACCATTTCATATCCCAGCATAGTAACATTGATTATCGATTTCTTTCTTTTTTCTTTCTTTCTTTTTTTTTTCTTTTTTTTTAAAAATTATTTAGAGAAATTTCAACAAAATTTATTTCAACTAATTTTCATCAGCAATTAATTCCATATTCATCGAATATTCTATTTTTAGCACCAATTGATTTAGGATGGAAAACAAGAGATTTAGAAAATTCTTATACCATTGAACAAACTCGTAAAGTAACCATAATGTATCTATGTCGTTGTTTTTTTTTATAATTTTTTAGTTGCTGTGCTGTGCTGTGTGTGTGTGCGTGCGTACGTCTCTTTTTTTATAAAGCATAATGGAATCTGAAAGAGAGGAAGAACAAAGATTAGTGTAGGGTCTTATCAGCTGCTTACAGTCAATATTATTATAGATATTCACATTCCTTATAATAAATATAAAGGTGATTAAAGATGAATCTATGTGTATTATAATGTAATGAAGATCCGTATAGAGTTCAATCGAGTCATTAAAAATTTGTTTGTTTCGAATAAAGGAATCAAATTCGAGAGGGACCATCCAGAACATTGAAATAGTGATTAGAATTCATGGAGCTAATAAACATTATGTAATGAGGCAACCGATAACAGATGAATGATAATAAAGAAAGATATGAATTGATAGAAAATGATAAACTTCAGAACGGGTTGAAATAATGAATGACATAACAAATAAAGAAGGGGGGGTGTAATGTTATCAGAGCAAAACAAAGATTTATTACTGTCTCTTTTTGTATACATAGATCTGGTTTTAGACGTTTGGTTGCTATCGCATCAGTGAATTTCAAAAGATTGGAATTTGATTGTTTATTAATCACTTTGAAAGACTTCAGTGTATCGAACTGATGTCTTATGTCAAGGAGATGTCTTGCGATGGCACTACTGAATGCTTTTAGTCCGTTTGATCTTAAACTCTTTGAAATATGTTCTTTGAATCAGATGTAAGCTCTCCTTTCTGTCCTACTAATGTAAATGCTTTGGCAGACATACGCAAATATATTTGGTGGTAACATGAAAGGGGTACCTACCAACTTTTGATTGTTTCGAAGAACATGTTGTTTTGGATAGGACAATCAATTTAGCTACAGGATAAGTTCTTATCAATGCATTATCACCTTTGAATTTGAGTTGAATAAAAATAGGTTTTTTATTTACTATAATTTCTTTGGGTTTTTTATCATCATGTCGTGGATGCGTACTGCTGAGGTGTACCACAATAGAACGAAATGGCCGTCCAGTTCTTCCACGTTTTCCATGGTGGTATAGCTTCAATTGGATATTCGTTATTCTCTAAACATTCATTACTTACTCTTTTAATGTATCGGTAGTACATATTCAGTCTGTTCTGTAAAACAACATTTTAATCAAATCATCAAGTTAATTGTGATTATATAACGTGTATAACGTTAGATAAAACTAGTACATTGGTTAGACGAGGGGGGGGGAATGAGAGGTGATATATGATTTTTCATTGATAGAGAATGTCTAGAAAATGTATTAAATATACCCAGTTATCATGTAATCTGAAATGTTATAACTTTTTATAGGATCGATCAATAAAGTTAGTTACGGTCAATTTTGATCTTGGCCGCTTACCAGCATTCTGTATCCAACTCTGTCTTGGGCAATTCTTTAGAGTTGTTACCAGTTGATATTCTTCCTTTTCATAACTACTTTCAATTTGCGATGCAGTGTGTTCTTCAGCAATCCTCTTTTCCATTTCCATTCAGGATTCCAAGCTAGGGCTTGCTTCATGATGCAGTTAGATGATTTCCGTAATATAGATCCTATTCATTTCCAACGTCTTTTCCTAATTTCCTCTTCAGTTGGAAGTTGGTTTGTTCTCTCTCACAGTAAGCTGTTACTGATGGTATCCGGCCAATGAATGTTGAGTATCTTGAGTAGACAACTATTTATAAATACTTGTACCTTTTTGATGATGATTGTAGTAGTTCTCCAAGTTTCTTTAGAGTATATCGCTTCTACTAAAGCTTACTACTCAATTTCATTACAAGTTAACAATAAGAACCAACATGATCTTTGTGGTAATATATACGATTTATCTACCTGTTTACTTGATACTACATTCTATGTGAGTTAGAAGTGTTAATTTACTATTTTCAGAGAAGGGTTTTGTGGCTGTTATAGTCATTTAACAATTGAATTCATGAGTCAATTGATGCTAGATCACCATGGAAAACCTGAATAAGTACTGCTGAAGAGTCATATACTAGAACAAAATGGCCGTCCAGTACTCCCACATTTTCCATGATAGTCTACCTTCAATTGGCTCATGAGTTCAACGATTAAATGAATGATTTAATAAAATTCTTTATAATAACTTGGTCCTGGGTTCGACAACTCGCAGGGGGCGAGGTTGTGGATGCGCACTGTTGAAGAGTCCAATAATAGGACGAAACGGCCATCCAGTGCTTCCAGGTTTTCCATGGCGGTCTAGTTTCAACTGACTCATGATCTTAACCATTGAAATAACTTTTGTATTATTTTCTTTTTTTTTCTTTGAATAGCTTTTACAATTACATACTATTCCACATGGATTTTATGGTAGTGATGATGGTTTTATTGAACGTGGTAGTGTACTTGTTGTTGAATCACTTTTAAATAATTTACAAGGGAATAAAGTAGAATTATTAATTAAACGTACACCAGATGGTAATACTTTTGTTGGTCATAAAGATCTTAAAGAAGAATTATGGGTAATACTGAATTGTTCTTTATTCTAAATTAGATTGTTAATGAATTACCTATTCATGATAAAAAAATGTTCTCATTATTATCATTCATACATATTATAGTCTGTAGTGTGGCGTCGAGTCTCAGTTGACTATGATCACCACTACAAGAAGACTATGTGCCAGTTAATCGATAAGATCCCTCGTAGGTCAAATATCAGAAGTCAGTTAATGGTTGTAGTCGAGATGTATTTGTTGGCGATTTCGTGGTATCGAAAGAATACCGAGATCATGCCAGATTACAAGTGGGGTTACTGAGCGTAACCGAACTTGAGCAAGCTCACAATCAACGGAAGAATGTATATATTTTGATACAGTTAAACAAACAAATACAGTAAAACAAGCCCCGGTACAATTGGTTATAATAGTAATTGTTTCTATTACACCAATCAAGTTCTGTTGATAAAAGTAAATCACTACAAGTCTATCTAGTGTAGTATGTACTACTAATATCGACAAATATAAGTAGTATGTATGAACAATCGAAAATGAAATGCTTGGGGGGGGACAGAAGGTTGAGAAAATTGAAGAGAAGAATATGAGAACACTGAGTGATTGATGCAAAAACGAAGGACCAGTCAAGTCTTAAACAATTGATTAACATTTTGCAAATGATTCACAGATTTTACCAAAATATTCTGTAACGTTGTATTAAAATATATTTAGTTGTCCTCACCTGTGTTCTCTTTCACTAAACTAGTTTCGATGAAGTAATATTAAGCGACTATCCTAACCTGATTTCCAGACTAGCCAGACACCAATTTCTTGTGGTATACCTGAATGTTGATCAAGCTAATAGTTAGTCAGCTGCAACGTAGGACCAGGCACAGATATGCATCGGTCCAAGTTGCCATACCGCATTAGCACAACAAGATGAACACTGAACTCATAGAACTTGTTACCTTAATGGTAGTAATATATAAAAAAAGATTGTATATAAGGACATAGTACAGGAAGAAAGAATTAGTTCGTAAAAAGAAAGATATAAAGCAATTCACATATCACGGTTAAGGGAAAGACAAAGAATGTATACACATGAGCGGTTGTGATCGATTCTGAGCCATGTCACCCATAGTCTCCAACCACTGGTTACGATAGTCGCGTGGATCCTAACCAAGTAGTCTGCATCTACCAACATGGCTAAGACCAAAAGTTAGTGATTTCAAACATTGATACTACGTTTTGCTAATAGGCTATTTAGTTAAACTAGCCAACTTTATTATTATTATTATTATTATTATTATCAGAAAAGGGTTTGGTGGATATTTTAATCAGTTCAATAGTTGAAATCATGATTCAATTGAAGCTACACCAACATGGAAAACCTATAAGCACTGGATGGCCGTCTCATTCTAGTATGGAACTCCTCAGCAGTGAGCATCCACAATCTCGCCTTGCGGAATTCGAACCCAGGACCTATCAGTCTCGCACGCGAGCACTTAACCACTAGACCACTGAGCGAGTATCCAACAGTATGAATGTCTAACTTCAACTAATCCACGAAACTGAGCGACATATCCATCATTGTCATCAGTGAGTTACTATCTCATGCTCGCTCGCGAGACAAGTAGGCCCTGGGTTTGAATCCCGCGAGGCAGGATTGTGGATGCGAACTGTTGAGGAGTTCCATACTGGGATGAGATGGCCATCCAGTGCTTCTAGGTTTTTCATGTTGGTCTAGCCTCAAGTGACTCACGATCATAACAATTGAAATTATTATTGTTATGATTATTTGAATAATGTATCCAATGCAAATCACGAATATTATTCATATATCTAATTAATTCACTTATGTATATTTATTTGTTTGTTTTATTCTAGTCTATGGTAATTGATTGGAATAAAGTTGGAGAGAATGGTATTGTTTGGTTTATTGATTGGCCAATGAAATGTCCAGAACAATTATGTTAATAATTTAATCAATATTTAATGAATTTTAACTTTAATCATAAACAATTATTAGTCTATTGTTTATTTATCCATTCTATTAATTAGTATACTTTTTATGTATTTATTCAGAATACTTGACTCTTTTTTCAATATACAACCGATATGATTAATTGTTGACCTAATTTATGTTTAACTTCGTCTGGAGTCCCTCCGGGAGGGAGGCTACTGCCGGTCTCAAGTCCGGATAAAGAAAGTGGATTGAGCATGGGGTTAGCGAACCCATCCCATAGAAAACTAAATCATTAAGAATACGTTAACTAGAAAAAAATTATTGATTTATATTTGGATAAGAGTATGGTAACTATATTTGATTGAACACATAAATATTGGTACAATGGGTCACCGAATACATATATGCCACACAAGTCACTTGATTTGTGTGAAGAATAAGATACTACCTGAGCGTCTAAACCTGTTTTCTTAGGGAGCCACATCCGAAACCTTCGACCTAAAGGTCTGATCCACAAGGTAGTAGAGCGACGTCAGGAGATTTAGTCCCATAGTCGATAGTGATCAATAATTGATTCATACGCTATTTTTACCCTCAGGATCCCAGAGCCAATGTGCACCATTAGTTTGAGGTCAGGGTTTTGCAAATTTCCTAGATGGGTCCTCCGTATCCACTAACCCGGTTAAACCACTAGACATTCGCTTTTTGTCCTCTCCATTTCGTAAACAACAGTAATGCCGCAAGAATGCAGTGCGTAGGATTTCCCTGACAGTGGCCATAAGAGAGGAAGAACGGACTATCCCCACCCTCAGTAGTAGCATGACATTTGAGGGTTGAATTGTATACACATAAATATTAGAATATTAGATGGTGATTGGAGGTAGTCGAAAGGAAACCTTGGACCCGGGTTTCGTGCTACTTGTCACTCGTCAGCAAGGTGTACCTGTAATCGAATCCGCCAGGGAGCACCAGTTCCCTCAAAGATTACAGGTACACCTTGCTGACGAGTGACAAGTAGCACGAAACCCGGGTCCAGGGTTTCCTGTCGACTACCTCCAATCACCATCTAATCTCACAATAGTGCCCACAGTGTCGAGTCACCTAGACTGGTGGCCACATTGCGACATGGTCGATAGCATTCGATCTGCACTAATAATAAAGACTAGACAAGCATGACATTGGTCACCACTCAGTGATCAATCAATTGTGAATACTAGAATATCGATAAGTTATGTTTGACTAGTTCATTAATTGTCATTCCAATTCATATTTAACGTAATCAAGGGTGCATAAAAGTACGCCACGGGAATGAATCAAATTTATTCAATATCAGGATAAAACTAGAATAAGTGAGTGGAATTTTATGATATACATCCCTGTTATACTCGTTATCTTTATAATTATAAACTAAGGAAAATTGAATGTAATAAGGACTAGAATATAAATTTTTTCTAATTTATATTTCAATAATTGAATTCACCAGCAAATACGTTAGTGATAAAAACATAAAAGTATAATACGACTGAGTGAACATAACTGAATTGAAATAAACAGTTTATACTGACGGAGGCATTTAGGAACACCAGAAATTACTTTAGAACAGAAATAACACTGACAATAGAATATTCTGCAATCGCATTGTAGTGAAATATATCCAGAACTGTATCAGACTGGTCTAATATGCATTGTATTGAAATGAATACAAGTGGTCCAGAATGTTAATTTGTCATTGAGTCTCAAGTATCTGTCGATCAATATGGTAAGGAAAAATAACTAACAAACAAATAAATAAATAGATAAGTGTGTGGATAGATAGATAGATCTTACTCTGTTTTCCTACTTTCTGGGTGTGACTGTAAGTCAATCATTGATTTTATTGTGTCTATTGATCACATCATCTACACCGCTCAAGCTGTGCTTCTTCATAGTCTGTTTTGCATTGATACGGGAATCCGGAGCTAAAACCGTCGACTCATCTATCTTAAAGATTTCTATGGTTTGTTCCTTCACAGTGTGCCTCTCTTTTTCTTGTAACCATGCCTACATCTGTGTGTTTGCTATTCTTTCCTTCATTGCGGTCCACTTTTATGGTTTCATTTATATGCAGAGATGGACTCTTAATAACGCTCTCTGCTTCCTCGAGATATGGCAGTTGCTCATCTGCCGCTGGCTGCTTATCTGAACGAATCTTTCTAGCTATGTTCAGAAAATTAATAGCCGCGAGAATCTGCAGAAACTTTGTAGAGCATCATTGTTCGCATAGCCAAAGTGATAATGGCTTGCAACATATTCTATACGCAGCCAACGTGAGCCGGATACACACGCTGTGACACCACATGTTGCAGTTGTCAGATTCCATCCAATCCTCGGCCGGCAAGAAAATGAGTCTACCACAAAGATGTCTCACTTCTGCCATTAAAAGTCTTAAGTAATCTGACAGGGAGGACAACAAAAAATCTCTTAAAGCTAAAAGAAAAATAAACAAATAGAAAACTGATCTCTAGAATAAGAGTTATTTCAGGCTTTGCAGGTTTCAGACACTAAACACAAAAATCAAGGGTTTATATGTTACTGCAACAGAAAAATTCCACTTAAATAAATACAAAAAGTCCCTTTCATTTCGAAAAACAAAGATTTACTAGGCGAGAAGAAAAATATCACTGCCTGTTCTGTTTAGCGAGAAAATTCAGAACGGTATTCCACCTGTATAATGGACTGGATGAACTCATATCCCAAAGAACACGTGGTACATAAATTCTATCAGATAACGTTCCAAAGTTCCAGTCATTGTAAGGCTGCTGCTGCTGCGAAAGGATGTAGGGTATTATGGTCCGTTAGTAAGTTTTTCCAGTAGTTGGATGAAGAAATGTTTAAGTTATTATACCCGACTTTCGTGAGAACTCATTTAAAATATGGGATTCAAGCACAGAGTCCTCGATTCAAGTATGAGGCGGATATGCTGGAACGACTTAAATGATGAGTGACTAACATGGTAAAAGATCTATTTGGCCTATCTTGTGAAGACAGATTAAGACACCTTAACTTATTTCCGTTATCTTACCGTAGAATACGGGGTGATCTAATATTGGCTTATCGTATAATGGACAATGACTTTGTTATTAATATGGTCTCATCTTTTTCTTACGTCTAGGACAAGTGGACTGAGCCATGTTGGTAGGTGTAGACTACTTGGTTGGGGACCGCGAGATGATAGCAACCAATGGTTAGAGATCTTAAATAACATGGCTCGGAATCGTTTGCAATGGCGCAGGTGCATCCACTCTTTGTGTTCTCTCTAATCTTCCGAATTGGTGCGAGGCACCCACTCGACTCTAATGACTCTGTTACAAAAAATACTAATCGTAAGATATCAGTAGTTAATATACAGGATCTAAGGTCACGGTCGATAGCTCTAAACACGATCGCGTTAGTTAATAACGGTATTAAATAAGTCAAATAACGAGGATGGACTTTTGTATGCATATATATTGTATAATCATTGATCCAGACAAACGAACGGGAAAACGATGCGAAGAAAGGAAAACCAAGCAAAATGACGCGCGGTAAAGTTGGCTGGTAAGCCAACTTCCCTTAACAAAGAATTAATCAATATTTATAAGCGCACAAAGATAAATTGCAAACATGTGATGAACAGTGGGATAAGAAGCATACACACGCCCACGCGCTCGTATAAAAACAGTGAAGATTGATAAGCGAATAATTAACAAGGTCAAAATATGACTCAAATAGAATGAATAGATTGAGATGTCCGGAAGCTAGAATAAGGTATGTGGGTTTAACAAAATAACAGACACTACAAGTGTTGTTTTGCTGACTACTTTATTCTAAGATACATCTGTTCTTGGAGTATGGCACAATGTTGTCTGATCATTGGGACTTTAATGCACCGCACATCAGCTGGATAGAGCTTACAGCTCCAGGCGGAGGTTTCGATAGCAACCTTTTATCAACCGTTATTCAGTGTACACTTGTACAATGTATCACAAAACCGACACATGTTGATTTGAAACATGATCCGTCACTGCTGTACCTCACCCTCACCCACCACTGTGAGGATGTCTTTGATATTCAGCACCGTCCCCCACTACTGAACAGTGATCATGTTGTATTTCACCTTAAGTTTAGGACACATGGTATACGATTTGTATCTGCTCCACCCCGCCCCAATATCTGGCGAGCTAATATTCTGCAATCAGAGACCGTGCTATCTCGACTGATTGGTCGGTCAACGCAGATGGATCGATCGAAGACGAATGGATTAAATTTAAGGCTACATTCAAGTCCATAACTTCGCCGTTTATTCCATGATCAGCACGTAAGCTATCGCATTGCCCTCCATGGAACAATAAGGAAACCCGTAAGCTGTTAAAGCGTAGGAAACACTTCTGGGACTTATTCTTGTTGACAGGTCATGTATCATTTAAGCATGAGTACCAGAAACTACGGAATATTTGCAAGAAAATCATAGCCAAATACCGTACTACTTACGAACGACAGTTGGTATATGATAGCCGTACTTGTCCGAAACGATTGTTTTCGTATGTTAAACGGAAAACGAAACGTAGTGATGGTATTCCCCCGTTATCGTTACACGATAATTCAGACTTACTAGTTTAATCAGATCGGACAAAGCTGAGACTTTTTCAAGCTATTTTAGCGAAGTCTACTATACGTTTATTGTAACAAATACTTGTCACAATCACACCGAAATACCAGCCATTGGATATGTACAGGTGACTGAAGAAACTGTCCACAAACCTTGTAAGATGCCGGGCCCTGACGGGTTACATCCACGGCTGCTGTCATTTCTTGAGGACATTATTTCAAAACCGCTCGTGACACTCTTCAACATGTCCCTTTCACTCGCTCAACTTCCTAGAGATTGGAAAGGTGCTATTGGCAGTCCTATATTTAAGGATGGTCAGAGATAGATCGTATCTAACTACCGGTCTGTTAGTCTGACTAGCATTTTCGTTAAGTTACTTGAAAAGTTAATTCGGGTTAGGTTGCTAAGCGAAATAGGTTCACACAATCTGTTAGCTCCTGAACAACATGGATTTGGTAACAAGCGTTCATGCTTGACTTACTTATTGCGAGAGAGGATTGGACAGCAGCCTTAGACAAAGGTCTGTCTATCGATGTGATACTCATAGATTTTAGCAAAGCATTTGACAAGGTTTCTCACTTAGGTCTTATGTAGAAGCTCACGAGCTTCGGAATAATAGGTACTGTACAGGAGTGGATAAGAAACTTCTTATGTGACCGCAGACAGAGAGTGAGGGTCAATGGGGCGCTATCCGATTGGAAGCCGATCAAATGTGGTGTACCCCGAGGCACCATCTTAGGCCCTCTGCTCTTCCTCCTCTACGTAAATGAGTTACCACTGTTGCTTAGGTCGTCGACATTATTGTTTCTGGATGACATAAAAATCTGGAGAACAATAAAAAGTGAGGTTGATCATTTGGATCTTCAAGCTGACTTAGACGATTTAGTTAGATGGGCTCGAGGTTGGGGCTTAGGAATCAATTCTAGGAAGAGTGTGCTAATGCACATCGGGCACGGCAATAGTTACCATTATACCATTGACGGTAAACCTCTTTCATGTGTTCAAGAACATAAAGACTTAGGAGTAATAATAAGTCATGACTTAAAAACAACTACGCACTGCAACGCAGCCGCTGTCAAAGGTTTCCGTGTGTTATGGTCACTTCGCCGAGCGTCAGTTCGTTCTGCGTGTGGGAACGAAATTAGTGAAGGGTCTTTCTAAACTCCTTTACGATGAGCGTTTAAAACGCCTAAACCTTTACCCCTTGTCGTATCGTAGGACTCGAGATGACCTTATACTAGCATTTCGTATCTTTAATTATGATTTGGGTGTTAATATGTCTTATCTTTTTGCTCCCTCCAGCACTAATAATCTCCGAGATCATAGCAAGAAGGTTCATAAACCGCGGTCTAATAAACTTGAAGTGGGGTTCCATTTTTCTCATCGAGTAGTCAAGGATTGGAACGCCTTGCCCGAACAAGTGGTATCAGCCCCATCAGTGAATATTTTCAAGGAGAAACTGAACCTTCACTGGAAGGCAACCTGTTAGGATTAACACAGGTTCACCAACCTACTATCCTTACTACTGAAGGCTGAAGACTAAAGGAAAACTTACTGGAGCCATATTTACCTCATGGGAATTATTGATTATCTGTAATTGTGGGTTTTTGTACCAAGCACAACGGAACACGCAACAGCTAGCTGATTTAAGTAACGTCCCTGAACTTTTATTTTGAGTTAATAATTTATAAGTTGTTTATTGTTACATTTACTTTTGGACGTAATAACTTGATTGCTATTCCTTTTTGGTCAATATACCTTTTGGTCCACCACACTGGTTCTTTACTGGAAGATGTACCTCAAGAAATAAGACAAGTTATCCAATTATGCTAATCACTAAATTCTAATGAACAACTGCTCAAGGTCACCAGATCACTGGAACAACAGGTCAGTAATCTTAGTTGTTTAGTCATACGGCTTCGAAATAGTGGTTATAGGGTTTAGGCGCAGAAATGAAACACGTCGTTGTAGCGGTCTAAACTGTGTACTTCTACATTCAACCACAAGATTGCCTTATTGTGACGCCTGCAATAATGTTGGCTAGTCTCTCTTGCTTTCCATAACATATGGAAAGGCGAGACTATAATTTATGGACGAACCAATAGGGTATAAGATAATCGGTCTCTGATATTCAGATTCAAATTTCGGATTTGTATAGTAAGGACAGAAGACCTACGGCCTATGTTATTCCTTTTCTAGTATGCTTCTGTGAGTGACCAGTCTTCTTTTGAATGAGTCAATTGAAGGTGCGGACACCACTACTTCGGGCAGCAGGTTCCAAGTATTGATGACTCGGTGTATGTCAAGGGTATTTTATTCGTTCTTGGCTTTTCTACTCGCCTGCTAGTGGGAAAAAAAGAGAGGTAGATATTGACACGAAATTCATTCATCCAATTGGGTTAATAGTGTTGGCATTATAGCTTATGTCAGTTCGTGATAAAAACCCAAAATCTAATTCCTAACCCCAATCATCAACTGTAAAACATAAGTCCAATTCCTCATACAGGTTTATAAACCTCATTTTGTCCCAGATATTAAGTGGACACTCTCAAGGTCAGTCTAACTGGGCTCAAAGATCGTCCATAAATTATAGTCTTAGCACTATTCTCCCACTAATCGCTAACCTCAAACCTTGTAAGATACCGGATTCTGATGGGTTACATCCAAAACTGCTATAATCTCTCGCGGACATTATTTCAAGACCACTCGCGATGCTCTTCAACATACCTTTCTTCAGTAATAAACACAGGAGGTCTATCGACCTGTATTAATCCCAACTCATCATTAAGGAGACTGAATGACAAAATAAGGTCGCTTCGCTGGCGAGAGCGTAAAATGCCAAAACCTTTAACCCTTATCGTATCGTGGAACGCAATGATTTAGTTGTTAATTTTTCATATCTTCTTGCTCCCTCCAACAATAATAAACTTCGATGTGCATGAGCACACCTTCCCTATAATTAACTTCTAAGCCCCGACATTAAGACTATCTAACTAGTTAGTCTAACTCGGATTGAAGATCAGAGTGATGAGCCTCACTTCGTATTAATTTAGAGAACAATGTTCTTCAGATTTTGACATCATCCGCAAACAAAATATCGATGACTTAGTCAGTCAGTCAGTAACAACGTGGAACTTCGTACGTACGTACATCAGTTCGAGTTGCCATACCGCATTAGTGCAGAGATTCAGTTATCGATTAAAATACCATAAAGGTAGAGGTACTAAAAGCATAAGTAGTGATAGGGAACATTATGGTTTGATGATGTTATTTAAGGAGTATAGTCCAGTGGAATAGATTTGGAAAGAAAATAAAAGACATGAAGAATTCGGAAGATTAGAGTTTGAGAGAACACAAAGATTGGATGCACCTGCGCCATTGGAAACGGTTTTGAGCCATGTTATTCAAGATCTCTAACCATTGGTTGCTATCATCTCGCGGTCCCCAACCAAGTAGTCTACACCTACCAACATGGCTCAGTTCACTTGTCAGTGACTTGATGAATTTGTGCCATGATTTGGTCTGCCCCCCCTAGCTTTCTTCCAACCTACTACACCATAAAAAACCGCACGTCGTGGCAGTCGGTGGTTGGGCATGCGTAACACATGTCCCAGCCATTTCAACTGATGAGATTCCACTTCATCAATTGATTTGCTATTATTACTTAGTACCCGTCTCCTAACAACTGCATTACTTACTCGGTGGCCCCAGGATGTACGAGCAATGTTTCGAAGACACCTATGATCAAATACTAGTAACCTACGAATATTCTCTATTCTTAACAGCCATGTTTCACCGCCATAAAGTAGGACGGAACGAACTGCTGCACAGTAAACACATCCTACGCCACAAATGACAAAAGCTAGTCGAGCCTTCTGTATCCGTGCTGAGATTTCGTCACACACCAGACCACAAGCGCTAATGAGACTTCCAAGATAAGTGAAGCGGTCGACACTCTCAACTAATTCACTCCTTATCACTAGTTCGGGTGTCCATGCAACCCAATCCTGAAGCAACATTTTGAATTTCGATGGAGAGAATCGCATGCCGAACATGCCTGCATTGTTTCTTAGAGTGGTCAGAAGACTCTGCATTTTGTCAGCGTCTTCACGAAATAGAGCTATGTCATCGGCATACTCTAAGTCGACAAGTGAATTTCCCGGTAGAAGTTCAAACCCTGGGAAGTCAGATGTGGAAAGTGTTATTTCTAAAAGCACGTCGACGACAAAGTTAAACAAGAATGGAGAGAGTGGACAGCCCTGACGAACACCACTTGAGGTAATCAGTTCTGATGAAAGTTCGCCATAAGCTCTCACTCGACCAGTTGTGTTCGAGTAGAGAGCCTTTATAAGGTTAATGTACTTGTTTGGTACTCCTTTCAGTGACAAACACTACCATAGAACCTCACGATCAACAGAGTCAAATGCCGCCTTAAGGTCGAGAAATACTACCATGGTGGGGCGTCTGAATGTGTGTCTATGTTCTAGGACCTGACGTAGTGTGATCTATACAACCACGTCCAGGTCGAAAATCAGCCTAGTTTTCTCTAGTCTGCTCTTCACGAGCTTTAGTTAGGCGTCGAAGTATTATTGAAGCTAATATTTTAGACACTATATTACTGACGATGAATTAAGCAATCACGGTCATTTATTGACGTAGAGAAGGAGAAGTGGGAGACCCAAGATAATGCCTTGGGGTACACCACTTTTGATCGGCTTCCATTCGGATAGCATTACGTTAACCCTCACTCTGTCTGCGGTCGCATAAGAAGTTTCCTATCAATTCCCGTACAGCACCCGTTATTTTGAAGCTCGAGAGCTTCTGCACAAGACCTAAATGAGAAACCTTGTCAAACGCTTTGTCAAAGTCTATGAATATCACATCGACAGACAGACCGTTATCTAGGGCTGCTGTCCTGTCCTCTCTTTCGATAGGTAAGTTGGTTAAGCATGAATGTTTGGTTCAAAACCCGTGTTGCTCGGGAGTTAACAGATTGTACGAATCTATGTGACTTAGTAACTTAACCCGAATTATGTTTTCAAGTAACTCAACTACTAAGCTGGCTAGACTGACAGGTCTGTAGTTAGATACGATCTGTCTCTGACCATCCTTAAATATAGGACTGATTATAGCATCTTTCCAATCTCCAGGAAATTGAGCGAGTGAAAGGAACATGTTAAAGAGCACCGCGAGTGGTCTTAAAATAATGTTCACGAGAGATGATAGCAGTCGTGTATGTAACCCATCAGGGTCCGGTATCTTACAAGGTTTGAGGTTATTGATCAATAGAAGATCAGTTTCCTCAGTCACCTATAAAGGTCCTATGTCTGGTATTTCGGTGTGATACATGTTTTTAGCAGTACATGTAGAGTAGACTTCGCTAAAATAGTTTGAAAATGTCTCGTCTGTTGTCAGATCTAATGCAGCTAGTAAGTCTGAATTTTCGTGTAACAGTAATCAGGGAATACCATCACTACGTTTTAATCTCGGTTTAACGTACGAAAACAATCGTTTAGGACAAGTACGACTATCATATTTCAACTGTCTTTCGTAAATATTACGCCATCTAGCTATATTATTATTATTTTAACACATAGGTATTGGTACAAGGAAGCACCAAATACATATGCGCCACACGAATCTCATTTGATTTGTGTGAGGGCTGTGATACTGCCCGGGTGCCCAGACCAAAGCAGGTGGTTTTCTTAAGGAGCCACACCCCGAGCCTTTGACCTAAAGGTCTAGTCCACAAGGCAGTGGAGCATCGTGAGGAGATGCAGTCCCATGGTAGCCGGTGACCAGGAAATTGGTTCATACGCCATTTGTTCCCGCAGGATACTGGAGCCCATGTGCGCCATTGATTTGGGATCCGGTTAGAGCGCCGGACGTTCGCTTTTCGTCCTCTCATTTTCGTAAACAACACCTGTGGCACCAGAAGGCAGTGAGTAGGACTTCCCTGGCAGAGGCTATATACGCGTGGCCGTGTGAGAGTATTTCGAGAGGGAGAGCGGACTCGCCCCACTCTCGACCGTACCAGGGCATTTGGGGGCCCATCTAGCTATGGTTTTTTTTATATATATTCCAGATTTTTTTGTATTCACACTTAAATGATTCGTGTCTCGTTGGCGAGAATAAGTCCCAGAAATGTTTCTTAGGCTTTAGCAGCTCTTGGGTTTCCTTGTTAATCCATGGGGGACAATGTCATAGCCTACATGTTGACCATGGGATTCACGGTGATGTTGTGGACTCGAATGTAGCTTTTAACTTATCCCATTCGTCTTCGACCTACCAGTTTATGGAGACAGCACAGTCTCTGATTGTCGAAATGCTAGCTCGCCAGATATTGGGACGGGGTGGAGCAGATAAATACTGTATACCGTGTGTCCGAAACTTAAAGTAAAGTACAACGTGATCACTATTCGCCAGTGAGGAAACATACTGAATGTTGATGACATCGTCACAGTGGTGTGTAAAATCAAGGTTCAGCAGTGACGAATCATGTTCCAAGTCAATATGTGTTTGTTTAACGATAGATTGTACAAATGCACACTGAATAATGGTTGATAGAAGGTCGCTATCAAAACCCCCACTTGAAGCTGTTAGTTCTATCCAGTTGATATGCGGTGCGTTGAAATCTTCAGTGAGGAGACAACATTGTGCCTTACTCCAAGAACATATGTGTCTTAAGATAAAGTCGTTAGCAAGACAACAAGGACTGCAGTATATTCCTCCTATAGTTGCTAATCCGTGTCTAGACTTAAATGTACAACAAACTACCTCACATTTACCACCAACATGCGTCTCCGATATGATTGATTGTATACGAAAGTGATCCCTAACGTATAACATTATGCCTCTTCCCTTGCGACTTATAACTCTAGTACTTCTAATACAGGTATAGCCTGCAATGTTGGAAGAACAGTCTATATCTACAGTGAACCAAGTTTCTGTGACAACAATTTTATTGGGAATTAATTCATCCACCATCAAATTTAGCTCGGACGCTTTATTTCGAAGACTACGGGCGTTCGTGTAGCGCACATTTAAGGTGTTTTGAGGATCATTCGTTCTACCCATACAGGTCTCGCAAGCATTGTCTTCGAAGACCTGGCCACCCGTAAACCCTTAATTGTAAAGTTTGTTTCGCCATTTAGCTTCCAAGTTTTTAACTTCGTAAAGGCATTCTTTCACTTGATTCGATCCTCAAGCTGCTAATCTGGTTGGATACGAATATTCAACTTACGAGTTTTGTATGTGCTTTTCAGTATGGAGACTCTTTCTTGTAGCAAGCAATCAGAAGGACAGTAGTATTTTTCCTCACTGAGATAATTTCGTTGTTTTGATCGTTAATTACACACTAAATGTATTGTTTGTTTTCCGAATTTATCAACGGTATTTTTTGAGCACGTTAGTTCTTTTTGTATTTGTCTGCACTTTTAGGTCTAACAACTTACAGTTTTTCACATTTATCTGGTCACCAATTTTTCTTGTCTCTGGGTATTGTTTATTTCTAGCTTCTTTTGAAATTTTCGGAGTGGACAGTGAAAAAAGCAATTACTAACGCCAGACTATCGATACTCTGTAGAAAATGACATGTAGTTAGATGCTGCTTGGGCGCTAACAGCTTGCTATCCAAAATCATTTCAGTGGTAAATGCCAATAAAAAGAGTATTAGCGAGCGTTATCGAGACACATCAGTTGGTATTCGCTCGGTCGATACATAAATTGGTGTGAATTTACCTAAAATAAGCTCAGAGTTGATTGACTTACATGGGCAAACAGAGGAACGATGACCTATAAAGAGGTCTGTTAGAAATGAAAGCTTGGAAAAGGAAGTTTCTTCTGTCCCCTGCCCTCCAAATGCCTGTGAGCAAGAAACGCTTAAAAAACCTAGTCTCAAGGCTGCGTTTGTTTCTAGCAGGAAAATTAAAACCTAACTACCCAATTCATCGACAATCATTCAGGATCCTATTGTGTTTAACGCGAAAAGACAGTCCCTCAATCAGTAGCTGAGAAATTGAAGAGTGATCACAGTGACAGGTCAATGGTCTTTTATAAAGTCAAAAAGAGCGGTAGCTTATAACCCAGAACTAGTTCTGAGCATGATATTGAGTTGATTAAAGAGCTAAAAACCAATTAATGGCTGAGAATATCTCTTGAGTCACCTTGCTGGGGGTTTATAGATTAGGTAGCCAAATGGAGATGAAACAGAATTAAACCAGGCTGCTAAAATTAGTATTTAAATCCTCCAGTGAAATGTACTTAATACTGCTGAGTAGACATAGACTAAAGGGATCAATAGTTTTTGTCCATAATTACCGTACAAAAGAACGGGAAGCTGAAAAAAAAAGCTAAAACTAAGGTTAGATGCTGGCGAAAAGTACCTAAAAATTGTAAGATTTCGCGTGGTCAGGCTTCGACAGAGAATGATGCTGAAGTCACATAAATTCCCGGAGCTTCCTCAACAATGATAAGAGCTAGGTGTACAGATGGACTCTACCAAGCCGGATGTAATCTCAGTCACAGAAACTCGTCTGTAAACAGTAGGGAACTTGATTTTGAAAGTTTCACATTAGTAAGATCTGACAGCATCCAGAAGAGGGGGTAGCTCTATTCATTAGAAATACTCTCATTTACCGTTATTGATAGCATATCCCATGAAAGTAGGACATAAGAATTAGTTAGTTGCCGCTTGAAATGCAAAGGACAAGAGCTGCTGATTGGTTTGGCCTACCTCAGTCCAAACCGAGGTGAATGAGGTCATACTAGACGGTTTCAAGGCTTAGTCATTAAGTCTTTAGTCTTAGGAGACTTTAATGCACCCACGGCAGATTTGAAAAATCTGAGGACCGAATTGTAAAATTCTTTCAAACAGAAATTATCACATGCCCTAGTGCAACATGTAAAAGAAGCAACTGAGTATGACCCGTACTCCAAATCATCCTAACTAGATCTCCTGTTGACCCATTATGAGGATGACGTTAGAAATTTCCATTATATGCCACACCTAGGTAAAAGTGACCATGCAGTTATAGTCTTTGATTTCCATATAGTTGTCAATAATGAGAATGTGTTAGCCCAAACCAGACCAAACGTCTGGAAAGCAAATATACAAGATATTATACACTCAGTAGATCAGACAATAAAACCAGAATTCCCCAACTGAAATGGCTTGGGATGTATTTAGAAATTTGTACATTATCACTAAACCGCACATCCCTTGGACTACACTAAGGGGTCCAAGAGTCCCCCCCGTGGTTCAGCAAAGAGTTTCGCATTCTTCTTATAAGAGAAGATTGTGGGAGAGATTTAGGTACTGAGTACTGACTAGGCAAATCTAATATGGAAAAGCTCAAAATATTTGTTCGTCGACCCTCCGCGTGTCTAGAAGGTTGTACGAAGAAAAACTTGTTTAGGAATCCATAGAATACCTTAAACGCTTTTACTCGTACGTAAGAGAAGAGGAAATATTCCAACTTTATGGGGTAAAAGTAGTACTGCATCAATAGTGGGGTGTGATTATGTTAAAGCTTAGGTATTCACAAATTACTTTAGCAATGTATATACCTTATTAATACCCTCTCTTTCAGTTTGTACACCCCACATACACACTGAACACTATGACCATAAAAAAACTATGTCCTTTGTCTGCCAAACAAGCTTACTATAGGCAAATCCATGGAACCCGATGTAATACATCCTAGGTTACTAAAGGAACTAGGGAACGTCGTCGTGAACTCCTCAAGTATATATATTGTCAGCTGACTACCGACTGTCCCACAGAATTATCAACGAATGGAATTTATTAAATCAACACGATTAAATCTCCATCTGCCGACGCTTTCAAAAGAAATTTAGATCAACTGAAAAACCACCATTAGTAGGTCTAACACCAACTACCTAACCGCCTGTCCTTTCCCACCTGGAAGTGCATTGTGTGCGCTTGCTGTGTCGTTGACTCACCTTTTCTTTGTTTTTGTTTTCAGCCCTCCTCACTCACGCTGCTCTGAATGGTCCCCTGTTTAGACGCTAGCCCCACAGTAAAAACCTTTTTCTCTATATCTGTTATATTTGACTAATATATCCTAAATCTACGTCCTTCCTTACACTTACATGTCCAAAGAGTATCTACCGGTTAGCTACAGTACTAACAACTGAACTGTACATTCCGATTTTATCGAAAATATCACGTAAGTAGAAGTGTAATTAGAGGAGATATAAATCCTCATTTTAACCTGCTTTCTTCTGAATTGATTGTTTACGAGTACACATACGTAGTCGTTCATTTGAGTTTTATCTGTTTTCTGAGTACGTGTTACCACTCATTACTAATCCATCAATACCAAAGCTGTCACTACAATATTACCTACTAAGTTTAAATTCTCATAAGATTCAAGAGAACAGTCAACATTTCAGAACCCCATAGTTTGCTTTAAGAAACTCATTATGTAAGAGCTCGTAATGCAACTGACTGACTATATCAAACTATATGACATAGATTAACATTTATCACTGTACGCAATACATTGCCAATATTCGCCTGCGTAATTAGTTAGTATAGATATATGATAAGTAAGTGGACGTTTGCATCTGTTACGACATGTATACTTCAAAATTGTGTTATTTGCAAATTAGAAAAGTCATTTAATAAAGGTCAGAATAATTTGGAGTAAAGTATTCAGTGACAATCAGTAGAATAGTAAGTAATATAGCAAAATTGAAAATGCAAGAAAAATCATATAGATAAAATGCATAGTAGGGGAATTTGATCTTGTCAATTGAGATAATAATAATATTGTTGTCGTGTCAATATAATGTGTGATAAGAGGGGTGTTATCAAGGTAGTTAATTACGATAAACAAGAAAGGATTCATGTAAATTAGGAATGATGGGTGTGAAGATTAAGATAGATGTAATCAAGAAAAGAAAGGTGTAAGAGGTTTATAATATTCAGTTTAGGTATCCAGTTGAAAGCCAAGGTAAACATAGAGGCTGGATATACCTTTTTCTGATACATAATTTTGGTTGTCTGGGGTTAATCCAGATGACTTCAGCTATGTCGAGTAACCGTAATCTAGCTCCTTGAGGTAGATATTTTAGAAATTGACATAAAACAGATAAAACTTTTCCTATTTTGATATGTTCACTATCTACCAAGTGGGAAAGGATAGTGCTGTTGATCGATTTACTGACTCCTTTTCCCAACCATGCTGGTATACGTCCACGAACACTAAAGGATAAAGCCTTCTGAGTACAGTCTATGTAACTAGCTCCACAGGAGCAGTTGATTTGGTATACACACATGGAGGAGTCCATCATTGACAACCTATCCTCGATTTGTTGTATGAATGCTGGTTTAGTTGAGAAAATTATATGTAACTTGGCGGCGCTATATATAACAGGACGCCACCTCCTTTTCTACATCTGTCTATCACTTCTTAGATAGTGGTATTGGAATAATGAACTAACCAAGTTTTTGTGGCTTTAATTTGTCCACTAATACTTCTAGTTCATAGAATTTATTTCTTAAACTATGAGTGTTGGCACATACAATTGTATTTTAATTGCTTGTTTTTGATCTATGCAAGCAATACATTACATCATATACAATTTCTAATGTACTTTTCAGATATATCAATCTTCACATCGAACTATTTTTAATTATTCATATTGTTACCATGTCAACGAATGATTCTTCTGATTCAGATCATATTCAAGAATTAGAAATGGAATTTTTATTTTCTATTTATGATCATAATCAAAATCATTGTCTATTAGAATATGATAAATTATCACGATGTGGATCTTTCACATTTTATCCACAATATAATAAACCTATTCAATTATATGGACCATTTATAAATATTAAATTAAAAAATAATAATCCAATAGAATGTTTATCGAATACAATTAATCAATCTTATTGTTATGATATACAATATTTACCTATAATCATTATGAAATTTATACTTCCATTTGAATATCCTAAATCTATTCCTAGATTCATTGTATCTTCTATATGGTTACCATTATCTATTCTTAATGAATTAACTTGTAAATTAATAGAGATAGCTAATAATCACTTAGGTGAAATGACATTATTACCATGTATTGATTATTTACAAAATGAATATATTTATTATTTTATTGAAAGATTTCAACAAAATCTTCAATTGAATTCTTTTGATCTATTTAAATTTTATCATGATTATAAATTAGAATTGAATTTATCTATTCATGATCTTTGTTATTTATTATTATCTAATAATAATGATCGTATTTATATAGAATTTAATGAATCATATATAGAATGTAATGTATGCTTTGAAATAAAAAAAGGGAAATTATTTAAACAATTTATAAAATGTAAATGTTTAATATGTCAAAATTGTATTATAGAAAGTTTTAAACTATCAATTAATGAATCATTATTTAATGGACCTTTAAAATGTTTACAATGTGGTGATGAAGTGAATTATACAGAGGTAAGTTATTAAAGTATTGTGGATTTTGATAATCATAACTCTAGTGACTGGATGATTTTCTCTATTGTATACATTACGTTTGTTAGAACCTCTGAACCCCTTTCTAATATTGACATATTATTGAACCATGTATAAGAAGTGTATCCACTTTATTTCTTTGATTTTGTATAAATTATATTTTTACTTTTTATTTACTGTTTGCTGGTTGGCTAATACTTCTCAAGGTCACCTAAGATCCATTCAAAGGTCGTCCATAAATTAGAGTCTCGCCCGAAACTCTAATTTATGGACGAGCCAATCAGATGCATTTGAGATATTTCAAGGTCAAGGCGCGAATTTCAGTGCTTAATGCGAACATACGATTGGTTCACAGGGAATTTCATACAAAACGTGATAATTGAGCGGCTATAACAAATAAAACGGCGAGACTATAATTTGTGGACGAATCAATCAGTTATAAGATAACAGATCTTGGATTTTGACGTGAAAGTCTTTCATCCATTTGGTTAAATAGAGTTTTTGCATTATAGCTGATGTCAGTTCGTGATGAAAACCCGATACATAATTCCTAACTAAGGCAAATTATGACAATTAGTACTAACTATTTAATAAAAGCACCAGTAACACTGCCTGCAACCAGGTACCTCAATATATACGGATGTTTAGAGAGCGTACAGACTTCTACATAGGCTTGTTTATGTGCATCGTGTCGTTATCCACAAGTAGCATTTTTGGTGCTCAGCAACCAAAGTGCTTCGGTTTGGGCACCCGGGCAGTATCACAGCCCTCACACAAATCAATCGAGATTCGTGTGGCGCATATGTATTTGGTGCCTCCTTGTACCAATACCTATGTGTTAAAATAAAAAAAATAATAAAGTGCACATAAACAATATTGAAACTATGTGGTTCAGGCTGAACGCGTTTTTGAGACTATCATGGCTCCGGAGACCGACTATTCTGTAGCCATATGGATGATTTCCTCTACTGCATGCATTGCGATTTTAAAACTTTTGAACCTCTTTCTAACCTTGACAAGTTTTTGAACCACGTATAAGAAATGTATCGACTTTCCCCCAAATGCCCTGGTACGGCCGAGAGTAGAACTTCTCTGGTAATAGTTGTATGCACGTGTCCATGTGAGAGCATCTCGTGAGGGGCAGTTGACTCTCCCCACTCTCGGTCGTACCATGGCATTTGGGGCATGATCCAATCTGTAAATCATGATTTTTAAGTGGATTATCCAAGTTAGATAGATAAAATAACTTTATTTTTTCTACTGAATTATTATAAATAAAATACATCTACTTGACAGTATTTACAGTTGAAAACTTTTTAAATAATTTGTTTATGTTATAACTTGTGACCTGAGTGCCCTGCTAATGTATACGTAATGATACCGACAATTAGGAGAGCAGCAAATTATCGATCGAACCAATGACGCGAAAACACGTACGAGCAGTGTAGAGTCTTTATCGGACCAGCTTTCCGCCTAACCCTGCCTGTTGAGTCCAGAACACCAATCCGAGCCTCTGCGATATGAACCATTTATTTCAAACATACTGGGTTTATATTACCAACCAGACAGGCCGCATTGTACTATAAAATCGGAAACAACATTTGTACAAGATCTGGCGAAATGTGACTGTGAATAAGGGAGATAGTAATTCATAGACAGGGCATAACTCAAGAATGGTAAATCGTATAATAATAGTTCATAAGTCAAAATAAAGCTTAAGATAAGAGGAATATGACTATGAATAGCTTTTATGTCTAAAATTGATAAAACCTACTATATAATCATGCAACGTAATAGTTTACTGCCATTTTATTACCTATAATAAATAATTTATATATTGCTATGATTTTAAACCATTAAAGTTGCTTGTACTCATTCTCTGCCCTATAGATTCGTTATATTTTACCTGAAGATATATACAAGAAATACGAATCTTTAGTATTAAAACGAGGTTTGGATATTATGCCAGATATTGTCTATTGTCCTAGACCACAATGTGAATTCCCAGTGATTTTGGACTCGGAAAATCTTGGCCGATGTCCTAAATGTAAATTGAGCTTTTGTCCAATGTGTTTAAAAACATATCATGGTGTAAATCCGTGCAAAATTAAATTACAAACATTTGGTAAATATGTACATATTGGTTCTCTTTTTTCACATTGATTATCAATATTAGAGTTTTTTTCTTTGTCAAGACGCTTCAACATTTAGGTTGTTATCTAGTAGTATATGCATAGCTTTTCGAATAGTTAGGGGTTGTTTCATTTAGTTGCCAATGTATGTTTGTTATTGCTTGGAGAACCTTACAATTTGAGTTACAACTCATTGTATACAGTCTCTTTGTTATTGGATAATCGCATCGGATAAGATAGACAATAATAATACGATGATGATGTTGATGAAGAATAGGAGGATAAGAATAATTTACAGGTCAAAATTACAGAAGATATTTGTTCGCTCAACATTTTTCTTTTTATCTGTCAAGCGGATAGTTATCTTTCATATTGCTGACCCGTAAATAATTAGTATAAAAAACATCATATCTGTATCTGTATGTTCATAGAATTAGGTATACATTCATGCCATGTACTTGTGTTTGATGAGTTAAATATCTTGTTAACGATACTGTACTTACATGATTTAAAAATTATATCTTAAATAATCTTATGGATTGAAATTTAAGTTATTCCGTTCCACTGGGAAAACTGATCCAAGATTCTTTAGGTAAATAATCAACACTTGAGGTTTCAAACTGATTAAATATAATCCCAACTACTTGTTATTAAAAATGAGTACTATATCGTTAACAAATCAAGAGCGGGAAAGCAGCAGGACCTGACAATATACCAGCTGAAGCGTTGAAGCCAGACATCGAAGTAACTATAAGCATGCTTCATCTTCTATTCAAGAAGATTTGGGAGGCGGAACAAGTGCCGATTTACTGGAAAGAAGGTCACCTCATCAAGATTTTAAAGAAAGGAGATCTGAGCAAGTGTGAAAACTACAGAGGCATTACACTACTGTCAGTAACAGGAAAAGTCTTTAACAGAGTGTTACTGAACCGGATGAAAGACGCAGTAGACGCTCAACTTCGAGATCAACAAGCTGGATTCCGTAAGGACCGGTCGTGCACAGAGCAGATTGCGAAACTACGGATCATCGTCGAACAATCAATTAAGTGGAACTCGTCACTCTACATCAACTTCATTGATTATGAGAAGGCATTTGACAGTGTAGATAGGAGGACGTTATGGAAAATTCTTCGACACTATGGAGTTCCTGAGAAGATTGTCAACATTATCCGGAACTCATACGACGGACTACAGTGCAAAGTAGTGCATGGAGGACAGCTGAAAGATGCATTCCAAGTAAGGACCGGAGTAAGACAAGGTTGTCTACTCTCTTCCTTCCTCTTTCTTATGGTGATCGACTGGATTATGAAGACCTCGACATCTGAGGGAAAACACGACATACAATGGACAGCTCAGAACCAATTAGACGACTTGGACTTCGCAGACGACCTAGCCCTCCTATCACATACACACGAACAAATGCAGATAAAGACAGCCAGCATAGCAACAGTCTCTGGATCAGTAGGCCTCAACATACACAAAGGGAAAACCAAGGTCCTCAAACACAACACGGAGAACCGCAATCCAATCACTCTTGATGGCGAAACTCTGGAAGACGTGGAATCCTTCACATAACTGGAAAGCATCGTCGATAAACAAGGAGGTTCAGATGCAGACGTCAAGGCGAGGATTGGCAAAGCTAGAGCGGCATTCCTTCAACTGAAGAACATATGGAACTCAAAACAACTGTCTGTCAACCAATATCAAAGTCAGAATCTTCAATACGAACGTCAAGGCAGTTCTACTGTACGGAGCTGAAACTTGGAGAACTACTTCAACTATCATCAAGAAAGTACAAGAATTTATAAATAGCTGTCTGCGCAAGATACTCAACATCTATTGGCCGGATACCATCAGCAACAGCCTTTTGTTGGAGAGAACAAATCAGCTTCCAGATGAAGAGGAAATTAGGAAAAGACGATGGAAATGGATAGGACATACATTGAGGAAATCATCAAACTGCATTACGAGACAAGTGCTAACTTGGAATCCTGAAGGGTAGCGGAAAAGAGGAAAGCCAAAAAACACATTACGTCAGGAAATAGAATCATATAGGAAAAGGATGAATAACAACTGGAAAGGATTGCTTGAGAGAGAGAGAGAGAGTTGGATGGCAAGTGCTGGTGTTTGGCCTATGCTCCTCCATGAGGAGTAACAGGCGAAAGTAAGTAATTATATCGTTTGATACAAATAGGAACTTTTGACTGCAAACGGCAGAGTCTTTATGATAAAAAAATGTTAGCCACTCTTGTGTATCGATATTCAAACAACCTCTGTCTTTTGGAGACAATAATAATAATACGGTAGAATCAATTTTCTCTTTTAATTATTAAATGTACAATTTTTAATGAGCATCTATTCTAAATTATTTGAAGTATATTTCATTCTGATTGATAATAGTTAAATATTTTTTTTATTTTCTAAAAAGGAAAACTAGATAATGTATCACAAGAAGATAATGAACTAATTCTACGTCGTTTACAAGAAAATGAAGAGTCAGAGAAATTAATTTCAGAAAAGTATAAACTTTGTCCAGGTTGTTGGACACCATGTGAAGTAAGTAACTGATAAAGTATAAAGTATTTTCAATGGTTAAGATCATGAATCAGTTGAAGTTAGACAACCATGGAAAACCTGGAAGCACTAGACGGCCGTCTCGTCCTATTGTGGGACTCCTCAGCAGTGCGCATCCACGACCTAGCCCCCCCCCGCGAGATTCGGAACCAGGACCTACTGGTTTCGCGCGCGAGCACTTATTCACTAGACCACTGAGCTGGCCGGTATCCAACGGTGTTAATGTCTAACTCCAACTAATCCACGAAAATGAGCGACACATGCACCATTGTCTCTAGTAAGTTACTTTCTCATAACAGACCTGGTTGAACTCCACTTCTTACTAGAACTCCAGGATATACTTTTTGAAGCCAGTCTCTAGTAAGTATATGTTGAATAATATCATGAGTCTGTTGAAGCTTCAACTGATTCATGATCTTAACCATTGAAATTACTATAATACCCACAAAACCCATCTGATATAAAGTATTTATTGAATGTTTTATTACTTTTGTTACTTTTTTATTAAATAAGTAGTATAATTCACTTACCAAATAAAGATATTTTTTCTCAAATTCTTTTGATGTTGTTTTACTTATATCTTCCCTTTGTTATTTAAGACTGCAATTGGTCAGTTTCATGTTGGCATATGCTCATCCTGTGCGGATTGCCTTGATATAACCTTAAGTCTGTTAGTAATTTATTCATAAGTATGGTATTTTCTTTAAAATATCTTCTTTCCTCTTTCTCACTCTTTCTGGTTACATTGTATTTGTTATCGTTTCACTTGACAGCCTAAGTTATTAATCCTCTCTTAAGAGTAGCTATTACTTAACCATATTACGTTCTCTTGGTGATAAAAAGTTCAGTAATTTTAACAATCCTAAACCGATTCATCAAATCATAAACTCTCCCTCTTCTATAAATAACTTTCAGCTACATACTTTTGTTGTTTATTTTATGGGCTAGTGATCGTACACTAGTGTGAAACTGCGTCACACTACATCAGGTCCCAGAACATAGACGCACATTCAGACGCCCCACAGTGATGGTATTTCTCGACTTTAAGGCGGAATTTGACTCTGTTGATCGTGAGATCCTTTGACAGTGTTTGTCTCTGAAAGAAGTACATTAACCTCATACAGGCTCTCTACTCGAAGACAACTGGTCGAGTGTTAATGTAGTATGACAACTCGAACTGATGTACGTAAGTATGAAGTTTTACGTCGTTGCTGACTGACTGTCAAACTGAAATAAATGATTTTAAACTTAAAACTCGTGATCCAGTGGTCGGAAATCAAACTACTCAGTCAGCTACAACATAGGACCAGGCACATATATGCATCGGTCCAAGTTGCCACACCGCATTAGCACAACAAGATGAACACCGGATTCATAAAAGTAGTTAATTCAGTGGTGGTAATATATAAAAGAAAGATGGCATATAAGGAGATAGTACAGGAGGAAAGAATTAATTGGTAGAAAGAAAGATATGGAGCGATTTTAATCTCTTAGTTTAAAGGAAGACAGAGAGTGCATACACCTACACCATTGTGATCGATTCTGAGCCATGTCATCCACAGTCTCCAACCATTGGTTATGATGGTCACGAGGACCCCAACCAGGCAGTCTGAATCTTCCAACATGGCTCAGACCAGAAGTTAGTGACTTCAAGCACTGATGCCACGTTTTGATTTGGCCGCCCCTAACTTTCTTCCAATCATCCCTAATACCGGTTAGCATTGCGCGTCGCGGTAATCGGTATTCAGGCATACGCAACACGTGACCCAACCATTTCAGTCGATGAAGATTCTTAACCTCATCAACTGATGTACCATCATTCCCTAGTACACTGCGTCTAACCTCACTTTTACTTACCTGGTGATCCCAGCAGATGCGAGCAATATTTCGAAGGAATCTGTGGTCAAATAATTGTAGCTTACGAGTATCTTCTACTCCTAAAGGTCATGTTTCGCAGCCGTATAGTAGAACGGAAGGAACTGCCGCGCAGTATACTCGTCTCTTAATTGATAGACGGATATCTCGCCTTCGCCATAGGTGACGTAAGTTGGCAAAAGCCAAACGATCTTTTCGAATCCCTGCTGACATTTCGTCACACACCAACTCATTAGGGCTGATCAGACTTCCAAGACAAGTGAAGTTGTCAACGCGTTCGACTACTTCACTCCCTATCCTTAGTTCAGGTGTTGACGCAGACCAGTCCTGAAGCAACAACTTGCATTTAGAGGGAGAGAAGCGCATCCCAAACGTTGTGGCATTGTTGCTCAGTGCTACCAAAAGACTCTGCATTTTATCAGCATCTTCACCAAACAGGACTATGTCATCTGCGTATTCTAAGTCGATAAGTGGACCTCCTGGTAGGAGATCGATGCCCAAGTATTCAGTCGATGAGAGCGTTCTATCCATCAGTAGATCTATGATGAATTTAAACAAAAATGGAGAAAGTGGACAGCCTTGACGGACCCTATTTGAGGTTGCAATAACAGATGACAGTTCGCCATAGGCTCTGACCCGACTAGTAGTGTTCGAGTAAAGAGCCTTCACAAGGTTTATGTACTTCTGAGGTACGCCTTTCAGTGACAGACACTGCCACAGAACCTCTCGGTCTACAGAGTCAAATGCTGCTTTTAAGTCAAAGAAGACTACCATTGTCGGACGCCGATAATTATGCCTGTGTTCCAGAACCTGAGGTCATTTCCTGCGCCATAACGAATTGATTATAACCATCTACAACTAGAGAAAATAAAACAAAGCTGAAAATCATTATCAGTTTCGGCTATATGAATCATGTACTTTAGACATACGCAGTTTATGTACAAAGAAATCAGATCACATCACACCATCAAATAGAAACTAACAATTATAAAAGAATTTTCAATAGTTGAGATCATTAGTCAATTAAAGCTAGACTACCATGGAAAACCTAGAAGCACTGAACGGTTGTTTCGTCCTGTTGTTAGACTCCTCAGCAGTGCGTATTCATGATCCCACGTCGCGAGATTCGAACCCAGGACTTATCAGTTTCACACGCCAACGCTTAACCTCTAGATCACTGAGTTGTCATTCAATGGTGTTATTGTCTAACTTCAACTAATCCAAGATCAGACCAAAAGTATCTGTAAGTGTGAGATACTGTAACTAATAAATTAAGAATAACTTAAGAATAGTAAATCATATAATAGTATGAAATAGGTCAAATGTAAGCTTATAATATTACAATATATATATATATATATAATGACAATCCATAAATAGATCTTAGCAGTTATCATTCACTTAATCTTTGTCCGGATATAACAATCATAATAGGATACTTCATGTCGATTAGATTTAACACATTGAATCTGTCATTGGTATATACATATGTACATATATATGACTCATTAGTAGTATTTTATATTGTAAGCACGTTTTACATGTAAATTGGGTCATGTTTATATTGTAACAATTATTAACATTCCTTAATATGAACAAATTTATTCAAAGTTCAAGAATTGAATTAAGAATCATAATGATTATTTGTTATGACTATTATTATTGAATCTGTTTATCATGTAAGTTACTTAGTTTATTGTATAGTCTATCATTTTTTTTCTAGACTATATTTTATCAAATATTATATAGGTTTATATTTCAATCTTTCTACAATAACGATTTGTTTATGTATAGAATACTATTCTTACTTTATTAATGCCTTGGTTTGGTTGAGAGTGGAAAGAGTTAGCATTAAATAGCATTCGATCTGGGCCCCCAAATGCCCTGATACGGCCGAGAGTGGAGAGAGGCTTCTCTCTCGAAATGCTCTCACATGGCCACGCGTATACAGCCTCTACCGGGGAAGTCCTACTCACTGCCTCCTCGCACTACGGGTGTTATTTACGAAAATGAGAGGACGAAAAGCGAATGTCCGGTGCTTTAACCAGATCCCAAACCAATGATGTACATGGGCTCCAGTATCCTGAAGGAACAATTGGCGTATGAACCAATCGATGGTCACCGGCTACCATAGGACTGCATCATGTGACGTTACTCCACTGCCTTGTGGGTCAGACGTTCAGGTCGAAGGCTCGGGGTGTGGCCTCCTAAGAAAACAACCTGCTTCAGTTTGTGCACCCGGTTAGTATCACAGCCCTCACACAAATCGAATGAGATCTGTGTGATGCATATATATTTGGTGCCTCCTTGTACCAATATCCATGTGTTAAAATAACTAAATCCGATCTGCAGTAATCAGGACTTGACACACATGACATTGATCACCACTCAGTGATAGCTCAATGGTAACGTCTCTCACTGTGAAGCTGGGTGACATGGGATCGAATCCGTTAGGTAGCACCAGTTCCCTCAAGATTACAGGTACACTTTGTTGACAATTGCGAAGTAGCACGAAACCCGGGTCCAGGATTTCCTGTCGACTACCTCCAACCACCATCTTACGCCAACACAGTGTACAAAATCCCGAGTCACCTACACTGGTGGCCACATTGCAACATGGTCGATAGCATTCGATCTGCACTAACAAAGACTTCACACACATGACATTGATCACTACCCAGTACTCAATTAATTGTAATAGCTCTTCTTCTCGAAATGCTCTCACGTAGCCACGTGCATACAACCACTGTCAAGGAAGTCCTACTCACTGTCTTTTCGCACCACAGATGTTGTTTTCGAAATTGACAGGACGAAAAGTGAATGTTTAGCGCTTTAACCGAATTGGTAGATACAGAGAGTCCACCTAGGAAAGTTGGAAAACACTAATTCCAAACCAATCGTGCACATAGGCTCAGTATTCTGATGGAACAAATGGACCATCTGACTACATCTCCTTATAATGCCCTACTGTCTTATGCATCAGACCCTTAAGTCAAAGGCTCGAGGTGTGACCCGATAAGAAAACCACCTGGTCATGTTTAAGCACTCAGGTAGTACCCCAGCCCTACACACAAATCAAATGAGATTCATATGGCGCATATATATTTGACGCCTTCTTGTAACTATGTTCTTATTCTTGATTTTATTGTATTCTACAGTACATAAATATATTTATATTTCAGTGGTTGAAATCATGAGTCAATTGAAGTTAGACCACCATGGAAAACGTGGAAGCACTGGACAGCCGTTTCGTCCCAGTATGAGACTCCTCAACAGTGCACATCCACAATCCCACTCCCCGTGAGATTCGAACCCAGGATCTATCAATCTCGTACTTCCAGGTTTTCCATGGTGGTCTAGCTTCAATTGATTCATGATTTCAACCAGTGAAATTTCTAAAATCTCCATACAAACCTTTCTGATATTTATATTTGTTTTCTTTTATTTATTTTATATAGAAAATTACTGGTTGTAATAAAATGACATGTTCATATTGTCATTTATTTTTTTGTTGGTTATGCTTAAATCCTATTTATGATCGTCATAATCCATATTCTCATTATTCTAATGGAATATGTCATGGTCAATTATGGACAGAGAATACTATTGAATTTATATAATAATTTGTTTATTATTATTATTATTAATATTACTATTATTCCATCCATTATTCATCTTACTATACTCATAAGGTAATAAGGTCACTTGAACCGATTCCTGGTCCTACATTGTAGCTAACTGACAAATTCCATTGGAGTATTGTTTTGTTTATTCTTTTGTACACATATAAATCATATTTCTTCTCCCTTTTTTTTGTATTATTTTTCTTGTATCCAACTGTTTATTTTGATGAAGTTTTGCTCTTTGAGCTCGAACACTTCACTTCTATCTGAAGTTTGTGCTGCTGCTGATGATGATGATGATGATGATGATGATGATGATGATGTCGTTCAGAAGAACGATAAAAGCTTCATGATCAAACCATCGAGCTTAGAGAACAAAACTCCATCTAAGTCATCGACCTAAGCTACAAATCTTCTCCACCATCTTAACTGTTTATTTTTATTTTTTTTTTTTATAATTTTAATCAATAAAAAGATGATCGAAAAAAAAATTAAAAAAAAAGATTCATTATTTTAATTAGTTGTTTATTATTACTGTTTTATATATAATTTAGATTGATCCTTTTATTTTTCATCATATTCAGTACTAGATTCAATTTTTGATAGAGTTTTATTCTGTAAGCTGAATGGATGGTTGAAGTTTATGCTGATGAAGTTGTTGAGAAGAAGAAGAAGAGGAGGAGGAGGAGGAAGGATGAAATTTCCACGACCAAATGACCATTCAGCTCAAAGAACAAAACTTAATCAAAATCATTCACCTGAGTTATAAATTTTCTCTACTGTACTCAGTATTGGAATTATTATGGATTAGATTGTTTTATTTAGTAGTGTACTTATAAACAACTGTTTGTTTTTATCAGATGAGAATTAGATTAGATCTTTATATTCTAGGAATAGTTGTTGGAGATATTTATTACAGTATTGTAAATTTATTACATAGAAACTATTCAATTGATACTTTTTTTACATGGCCAATAAGGGTAGACGATATTCGTAGGTTACTAGTATTTGATCATAGGTGTTTTCAAAGCATTGCTTGTATATTCTGGGATCACCGAGTAAGTAATGCAGTTGTTAGGAAACAGGTACTAGGTAAGGATGGCAAATCAATTGATGAAGTGATAAAACTTCATCAGTTGAGATGACTGGGACACGTGTCACGTATACACAACCTCCGAATACCCCGACGTGCGATTTTCGGTGGTGTAGGAGTAGATTGGAAGAAAGCTAGGGACGTCCAGAACAAAACATGGCAGAAATCCATGAAGTCACTGACAAGTGGACTGAGTGAGCCATGTTGGTAGGTGTAGACTACCTGATTGGGGACGGCGAAATCATAGCATCCGATGGTTAGAGACCTTGAATGACATGACTGAAAATCGTTTTCAATGGTGCAGGTGCATCCACTCTTTGTGTTCTCCCAAATTCCAATCTTCTGAATCCTTCATGTCCCTTTTTTCTCTTTCCAAATTTATTCCACTGGATTATACTCCTTGAATAACATCTTCAAACCCTAATGTTTCCGATTACTGCTTATACTCTTACTACCTCTACCACCATGGGATTTGAATCAACAAATGTATCTTTGTGCTAATATGGTATGGCAACTCGAACTGATTTACGTACGTGCGAAGTACTACGTTGTTGTTAATTGATTGACTGACTTTTAACATTTGCCATAAATGATCTTATTTATTATAGGATACTGGATATTCATATCTTGCATAATAATGAACTACATTTTCAAGTTATAAATAAATAAAAAAAATAATATTTTTGTAGTTATCTAAATGAGTAAAAAATTTAAATTTTCTGACATTTTTTAACTGATGTGTGGGCGAGAATGAGAATGTTTGGTTATCCGCTTAGTCAGATATGTAGATAGGCTGATAGGTGTCAGATGAGTTATATATTCCCCCTATCTTTATTATTATTATTATTATCGATTGTTCATTGTTGTCAGATTGTGTTGGGTATCTGGTGTGGGAATATATTTACGTTCTAGTCAGGATAATCACGTGTTCTTAGTCATCTGAGTTACGTTAAAGTCCTGTAGAATAATAGACACTAGGAGGGGAATCTAGTATAGATATTCATCTAACGTAAATTAACGTTCCATACGTGTAAACGCGGGAAATCCAACCGTTATAACAGTAACTCCAGTGTAAGCCACTATTTCACAAGATAAATAACCAAATCATAATTAATCCAAGTTTTATTTGGAATTTATCAAGTCGAACCTTAGTAATGGTACCTACAATTTCAAGTTATTGTTTTCTATGCCTTATTAGAATGAAGTAAGAATATTTATATTGTAACAAAATTGCTAAAGTTCTGATGATGAATGACGATACTACCAGAAAAGAGGTAATTAACAATATCAATACTTGTATCTATACAGAATATCATACGGCAAACTAAACATCTCAATGTCATAAAAGATAAATTTATTACAACATAACTAACAGGACACATTGACTTTTTAAATCAATCTAAGTTGTTTTATACATAAAGTAATCAGTATAATGAAGCGTCAAACAGCTTAATTAATGGGAGCAACGTATCACATCATAGCCGTAATACCTGACAGTTCCGATAGTGTAATAACAAGAAGACGAAGATGATCAGAGTTATGTGATAATGGATTAGCGCAATACATTTTGAACAATCTGATTTACACATAATATACTTGTTAAGAACTAGACTAGACTAGAAATGGAGGGTAGGAGGAGATAAGGATAATAAAGAAAATAATATGAAAACCGTTTGAAACCTCATCACTTTGGATAATAAACTAATATTCCCATGGTAGATTCAATGATGAGAATAAATTGTTTTTGACTGCCCAAAGGGTGTTTGAATATTCATATGGCTAAGGCTTCAATAAAGTTCAGTATACACCCTTTTACGCTTTTGTACAACACCACAAAAATGAAAAACACGAAGTTCAATGAAACGATCTCTATTCAACGAATTCATTATCAAGCTGTACAATCGTTTATAGATATAAAAAGTTTCTTTGTTAAAATACTAGTTCCATGAGGACATATGAATAATGAATAATCAAGATGATGTAATAGGAAGATTACAATACTAGATTACGTAATATGAATAATAACAATAGATATAATAGGTCAGTAACGAATTATGATGATTAAAGTGTAATTGTTACAGTAATTAAAGGTAATAGAGATGTGAAATAAATGAAGTGATATCATGAGCAATTATGAATAAATTAATAACAAGATGAGACATAAGTAAAGGGAGAAATGCAGTAATAATAATAATACTAAATTAAGGCTAAAGTAGCGATAGGATGTATTCTTTTGTACATAGATTTATGACTTCAGCTCATAGGTGGTAAGTATTTCGGCGCCCCCAAATGCCCTGGTACGGCCGAGAGTGGAGAGAGTCCGCTCTCCCTCTCCAAATGCTCTCACATGGCCACGCGTATATAGCCTCTACCAGGGAAGTCCTACTCACTGCGTTCTAGCACCACGGGTGTTCTTTACGAAATTGAGAGGACGAAAAGCGAATGTCCGGCGCTTTAACCGGATCCCAAACCAACGGTGCACATGGGCTCCAGTATCCTGAAGGAAAAAATGGCGTATGAACCAATCGATGGTCACCGGCTACCATAGGACTGCATCATGTGACGTTGCTCCACTGCCTTGTGGGTCAGACGTTCAGGTCGAAGGCTCCGGGTGTGGCCCCCTAAAACAACCACCTACTTCAGTTTGTGCACCCGGTTAGTATCACAGCCCTCACACAAATCGAACGATATCTGTGTGGCGCATATATATTTGGTGCCTCTTTGTACCAATATCTATTTGTTAAAATAAAATAAGTGTTCCAGCTATTTTAGGAGTTGGATAGATTAGAACGAACTACATATACAACCTTAAAATGAAACTGCAGATCCATAGAATGATTACAGTCGATTAGATATTCAAGTATAGAACTCCTAACTGCTTTCCTCACACCCTTATAGAACCAAACTGGGACGTGTTCCCATATCCGAGTTGTAAGCGAACGTTGAATACGGTCAATGTACCTTGCTCCACAAGAGTAGGTAAACTGGTAGATGTACATGGAGGCGATGAGATGGGGAAGCTTACGTTTTATGGGTACAGAAAATAAGTTCCTACCAGTGGACGTTATTCGCAGTTTTATCGCATTAAATATCCTTTTAATCGCTGTCGTTAAATGATTTCTGATTACATCAGATGTTCGACCACCTTTAAATTCCAAACTTATACAAAAGTTTTTCTTTGGAACGGAATAACCAGATTTGTTGTCGCGATTAGTTCTTTTCATATTCTTCTCTAGTTAGCCACAAAGGCAGAGTTAAAATCAATTTTATGACAAGTATATGTGTGATCAGATTGCGCTAATCTATCATCATATAGTTCTAATAATCTTCATCTTCTCATTACATTATTGAAATCTATCAAATGGACTAATTGCTTTACATTTCATAAAAGAAGACTCTGCACCTGCCAGTTTGTTGTATACCATTTCAGCTCAACTTCCAAATGTGATTCTAATGACATAGATAATTTGCAGCAAATAACATGACCATTAAATGCCTTTGGAAAATCCAAATTCACTCATTCTACTATCTACATGCAAAGTGACTGTAATGATTTATTAATGGAACAAATTTGAAAGTCGAACAGTTAGTTGTAAGTATTCAACACTAGCATGGACTATGCAATACAGGGAGGTATTAGCACTCATTAAATTAGATTTAAAAGATTAATAAAACCGATCGATACTAAACTATTTACTCAGAACAACGCTCAATTTTGAATTTGCTCATTTAGACATGTTAAGCTGTATTATGAAAATTTACAAACTTAAATAAGATTTACATGATGTTAGTAAACCGACGTTTTGTTCCTCGACCTTATTGAAGGATACCTTCTTACAATGACTTATTGTTGTAAATGATTTTAAGAAAGTATTTATAACAACGATAGATAGTGGTTAGAAGTGGAATCCAGGACGCGTGTTTCGTCCTAATTGGGACTCGTCACCTGGATATACCCGCATCCCAGAGTTAATGTTCACTCTGGGACCTGAACCCAGTACCGTTCACCTCAAACGCCATCACGTTATCTATTTAGCTACTAAGTTGTGAATTCAGGCAATATCGAGGCCGTCCACACAGGATATGTGTATATGCTAACATGAGACTGATCAATTGCTGTCCTAAATATCAATGAGAAGATACAAGTAAAACAACACCAAGTGAATTTATTTATAACAACGTTTTACCGTGAAGATCGGTAACTTTAAGAAAAAAATGCTTATCTAGTTCCTAATGGTTCGGCATTTACATTTAACTTTGAACATCGATTCACTGATCCTCGGTGTTATAATTCTTTCTTATGGTTATATCCCAGCTATTGCTATTGCTTAGTATTCACGGACACCAAATCACTCGACAAGTCCCCAAATCAGAATACGGTTGACAGGAAAGAGATTATATTCCAAATAACAAGGTTAAATGGAAGTAAGAAGCAGAATAGGATAAACGTTAGTATATCTATAGTTTTTATATGAGAAGATTTCTAGAGTATTCTCCAAGTATCGACTAGCGCTGACTGGGCAAGAATTAGCCAATGAGCGTGCACCAAAGCAATCGTGCATTGAGCATGCTATAATGTAATCTATGTCCCGGTAACATCGACCTCTAAGCTCCATATGAAATAAATCTAATAACACAGTAACCAAATGCTATTCAACATGAAGTACAATGTAACACACCAAAAAGTGAGTTGAATGATAAACAATTTATTCTCCATGAAAACTCCACGATAAAACTACCCAATTCAAACAATAATATCTCATTATATGCATTCATAACAAAATAGAAATGATCAAGATATTTATGTTTTGACATAGAAACTTTACATAAATGAATATTCCTAATTAATAAGATTAAGTAGGATAAGATTATAATGCATAGAGAAGATCATAAAGATATTTACCTACTTATAAAAGTTAGGAATTCAATCATCATTATGAATTGGTCGAATGAAGAAATGAATTTCGAACTATAATTTACAGATGATATTTGAACAATACTAAAATAGCCATGAAACTGCGTCTGGAGTGCTTCCGGGGGGCTACTGCCAGTCTCAAGCCCGGAAAAAAGAGGAGGGTTGGGCATGGGATTAGCGACCCCATCCCGTAGAAAACTAACTTGCTAAACAAACGTTAATCATAAAAAATTATCCCAAAAAAATAGCCACAAAGATATTTATCTACTTGTTGTTAAGGTTAGCAATTAGATCTAATATTTCCATTATAAATCAATATCAGATATGATGACAATGTGTTATTTAATGAAATGGAGGAATGAATTTAGCATCACACTTCTAATATGTGCACTTCTAAAACTATTCTATTCATCTATCAATTATAATTTTTGTTGAGTCAGTTTACTAAAGGATAAAGTTGTTAATGCTATCATACCTAACCCTCCTCTTTTTTAAACCAGGCTTAGAACCGGTAATAACCTTAGAAGAACTACAGGCGGATAATGCTGGTGAGCGTCGTATACGCCTTCACTGGGACTAACAAGCGTAAGTAAGTTAGAAAAGAATTTTTCTCCTAGAAATACAATTTGTAATTCTAAATTAAAAAAAAGAGAAAAAAAACAAAAAAAATTTTTAAAGCGGTCAAATCAATTTCACCAAATAGTTTTAGCTTTCATCTGATTACATTTCAATGAATTATCATAACCTAAATAGTATGATACAGGTTGTAATGTATAATTGGATATATAATGATAAGTCGAAGCAGAAGAAGAAGAAGATGCAGGTGTTGAAGAAGGTGACGAAGATGAAGGATGTTCTATTCCAGTTGATGATAAATGTTGAATAGTCTTATTCATTGAATTATTTACTGTATACCATTGTATAATAAATGTATTCGCACCTTGATTCATTGCTAAACATATATTCTCTGGTAAATGATTGATATTCATTATTGTAATAAAATCAATATAACCTTGTATAGCATTACCTTTATGGATATAATATTGAGAAATAGGTATCTCTATTGCATTATTATTATTATTATTATTATTATTATTATTATTATTATTATATTCATAGAATTCAACAAAATGAATCTTTACATCATTGATAAATCCAATTTTTGTTCTTATATTATTACGTCCTGTAAAATACCATAAATTAGTTTCTATGGCATTTAATATATTTATTGTTACTATAGTTATATGATCGATTTGTATTAACCATCCAGATGATAATGTTATTTGAATTCTTTGATCTATTGGTAATCTAATTAGTTTTAATAATGATGTTAATTGATTTGTTTTAAATAATAATAAATTCATTAAATTAGATAATTCACCAGAAAATAATTCATTTGGTAATAAGGATATACCTAAATAATTTATATCATAATTTAACCATGTCTCGCCTGTTGATGTCGATGTCGTCTCTGTCGATGTCGTCTCTGTCGAGTCGTCGTCGTCGTTGAAGATGAAGATTGTTGTTGTTGTTTTTTATAAGATGATAAACTTAATAAATTATTTAATTCATTTGCATATATATTAAAATTAAATAATAATAATTCATCTTCATGATTTATTAAATTAATCATAAAATTAGATAATTGTAATTGATTATTTGTATCATATAAAATATATAATTGATAATCAATAAATAATATATTATATATATGATATAATTGATGATGTAATAATATTGATTTTTGATTCATTAAATAATGATTATTATCAATTAAACCATACCAACTACCAGCTAAATTTAATTTACATTTAGATAATAAACCATTTAAACAATTACATTGATTATAATTAAATAATTGTAATTTACATGAATCTATAATTAATTGTCTACATAATTTAATTAATAACCATCTATTTTGTTTAATTAAATAACGTAATAAATATGTAATATCTATGGGGGGAATATTTAATGATGGTGATAATAATAATAATTTAAATATTTCATAATTTATTAATAAATCATCATTTAAATGAATTGGTAATTTTAAAAATAATTCAATTAATTGAGTTGTAATTTCAATTAATTGTTTTTGGTTACTATGGTAACTATTATGATTATTATTATTATTAGATTTTTGAATTGATTTTGTATAATATATATCACCAATTGTTTGAATAATTAATGAACGTATAATAGATGTTAATTGATCATTGTGTAATAATTTTAATAAAGGTTTCATTAAATCAGGATGATGTAATTGTTTACATAATGATATACCTATCATTAATAATAAATTATTTTTTTTATTATTAAAATTAGTTATATTTAATAAATATTCAATATGTTTTATTATTTGTTTAAAATAATAAAATTGTTTAAAATTTTCAATGCGGGAATTTAAATTCACTAAAGTCATTAAACAAACATAATTTTGATCGATATTTATTGATTTTTCACATAATTGATATAATTGATTCATTTGTTCAATAGTTAATTGATTAATATATGATAAAGATGGCCATAATTTTTGATATAATAATTCTTTTGTTTTAATAATTTCAATTGATTGATTCGTATATTGATTATTATTATTATGATGATGATGATCATGATGAGTTAAATCAATAAATTGTGTTAAAGCATTTAATCGATTAAATACAATTGTTAAACATGTATTTGTACCACAATGAATCAATATATCAATTAATTGATCTTTCCATGTATTTAATTGACGATAAATTAAATGTATATCAATAGATGGAGGAGATAACATAGTAATACTATTTAATATAGTAATCGATTGATTTGTATTTGGGAGACAACGTAATTTTTGTATTAAATTTAATACAGCATCAGATGATTTAATTGTACCAATCATATCAGTTTGTAAATAATCACGATAAGATTCAATAGATTGACGTAAATCAATCAATTCTTTATTATAATAATCATTATTGTTATTATTATCATTGGAATAACTGAATAAATTTACATTTAAACTACATATAGTTGATTTTGTAATTGGATAAATAAGACCTAAATGAATAATTTGATAATTAGAATTAAATAATAATTCAATTATCTTGAAAGAAAAACAAAAAGAAAGAAAAGAAAAAAAAGAAAAGAAAAGAAAAGAAATTAGTATCGATATTCTATCGATTTAACTTAGAAATAAATACTACTTATAAATATCAAGACAGTTTTACTGTATAAGGCGGAAACCTGAAAAATTACGAAAACCATCATACAGAAGATACAGGTGTTTATTAACAGTTGTCTACGCAAAATACTTCAGATCCGTTGGCCGGACACTATTAGCAACAACTTATTGTGGGAGAGAACAAACCAGAAGCGCTGGAAGTGGATAGGACACAAATTGAGGCGACCACCCAAATGCATCACAAGACAAGCCCTCACATGGAATCCTCAAGGTCGAAGGAAGAGAGGAAGACCAAAGAATACATTACGTCGGGAAATGGAGAGAGATATGAGAAAAATGAACAAGAATTGGATGGAACTAGAAAAGAAGGCCCAGGACAGAGTGGGTTGGAGAATGCTGGTCGGCGGCCTATGCTCCATTGGGAGTAATAGGCGTAAGTAAGTAAGTAAATACTACCTTCCACCCACCTTTACAACAAATACCCTGGCATAGCTGAAAGTGGGAAGAGTTAGCTTTCCATCTCTTTTGAAATGCTCTTACATGACCACGTGTATACAATCGTTAACATGGAAATCCTACTTGTTATAACTTGTTCCTTCTGTCCTTAGTAATGTATAACGTAATGATACCGCCAATTAGAGAATAGTGCATTATCAACCGGACCAATGATGCATAAAACCTGTACAAGCAGTCTCCAGTTTCTATCGATCCTTCTTCCTGCCTGTTGAAACCAGAACACCGATCTCAGCCTCTGTAATATGAATCATGTATTTCAAACATATAGGGTTCATATACAAACGAAATAGACCACATCGTACAATAAAATAGAAAACAATATTTATACAAGATTTAACCAAAAATGGCTGTGAATGTGGGAGATAGTAATTGTGAATGGTACATGATATAATAATAGTCCATAAATCAAACTAAAGCCTATAATAAGAGGACCACGAATATGAGCAGTTTAATTACTTAACAATTATACGATAAAAATCATATGTGTAGTATTAGTCCACAAATAGATTCCAATAGTTGCCATTCATTATTCTCATATCGGGATATAACATTACTCACTGCCCTCTCGCACCAGGGGTGTTTTCTCCTAAATTGAAAGGATGAAATGAGAATGTCCGGCGCTTTACCCGGGTTGACGTACATGAGAATCCACCTAGGGGAGTTGGAAAACCCCTATTTCAAATCAATGGTGCACTTCGGATCCTGGATCCTGAGGGAACAAATGGTGTATGAATCACTCGTTGGTCACTGGCTACCATGTGACTGTATCTCCTGACGTTGCTCCATTGCATTGTGGATCATATTTTTAGGTCGAAGGCTCTGGGTGTAGCTCCCCAATAAAACCACCTACTTCGGTTTGGGCACTGGACAGTATCACAGACCACACACAAATCAAATGATTTATGTGACAGATATGTTTTTGGTACCCGTTTGTACTAATATTAATGTATCTAAATAATTAATAATAAATTAGAAATGAATCCAACATTTTCTGAAACATGGTTCAATCCGGAAGTAGTTTTTTTTAAGATGCATCGTATTGATAAGTTTTGAAATGAGATTGTTGTGATGACATAATAATATTAGATATTTCTTGGTTGTTGATGAAACATTTAAGTAGTTATCATTTTCTTGCAAAAAAATTCATACTTTTCATTATAGATAGTGTGTTGTTAGTATGAGAATCAAGGACGTGAAATATATCCTACTTGCGACTCGTTAGCTGGATGTACCTGAATCCTAGAGTTGATTTTTACTCCGGGATTCGAAGCTAATGATGTTCGCTTCAAATGCTATCGCATCATTCACTTAACAACTGAGTTCTGGTAGCCATTCATTTGAATTGATGACTTTCACAATGAAATCACTAGTTTATTCGGTTCCATTAGTTTTTGTGTCAAATTCGCAACACGTATACTTGACATGGCTTTTCCTTATTGTTGTCATGTGAAAGAAAGTAATTAAACACCCAACAATTTGGATTGATATCACAAGGTGTTTTTGTGGATATTATAGTAATTTCAATAATTGAGATCATGAGTCAATTAAAACTAGACCACCATGAAAAACCTGGAAGCACTGAACAGCCAGCTCGTCCTATTGTGGGACTTTTCAACAGCGTGCATCCACGATATCGACTCTTAAGATTCGAACCCACGGCCTATCGGCCTCGCGCGCGAACGTTTAATCTATAGACCACTGAGACGGCCATCATCCAATGGTGTTAATGTCTGACTTCAACTAATCCACGAAATTTAGCGACACATCTATCATTGTCTTCAGTGAGTTTCTATCTCACAACAGATCCGATTTAACTCCAGTGGTCACTGCTTCAAATCTCACGAGGCGGGATCGTGGATGCGCACTGCTGAGGAGTCCCAAAATAGGGCGCAACGACCATCCAGTGCTTTCAGGTTTTCCATGATGGTCTAGCTTCAACTGACTCATCATCTCAACTATTAAAAAGAGTTTTAAAAACGTGATCAAAATTATTAGCTTTGAGACAATGCACATTGAAATATTTGAGGATAACCTCAGTTGTTTTAAGAATAATCATTAATAATATTGTACAATGTGACAATGACAACTAGCAACTAAATTATTTACATTTAGAAAGACTCGTAAGATACTGAATTGTCGTTGCTATGACATAATCTATGAATAAACATCAACAAGATTTTGAATTCTGAATTAATGAGGTATGTTTAATAAACTTTATCAAACTGTTTACTCTAAAATATATAATACTGAATGAAATGGGAATAAGTTAACAATAAGAAATATTTTAATGATGACTATAGAGACATAATAATACAAATATGTAATTTGGTTTGTTCTCTTTCACAGTAGGTTGTTACTGATAAAGTCCGGCCAACGGATCCAGGAGAAAAAAAAGGATGAGAATAAGCAACCTTACCGGACACCGGTCTTTACTACGAACGAGCTTGTCAGTTGTCCTCCATGTACGATTTTACAGTTTAATCCATCATAGGAATTCTGTATGATATTGACTATCTTCTGAGGCACGCCGTAGTGTCGAAGAAGCTTCCATAGGGTTGTCCTATTCACGCTATCAAATGCTTTCTCATAATCAATGAAATTCATGTAGAGTGATGAATTCCATACAATTGATTGTTCCACAATGATCCGTAGAGTTGCGATTTGGTCTGTGCACGATCTATCCTTACGGAATCCTGCCTGTTGGTCTCGAAGTTGGGCCTCTACGGAGTCTTCCATCCTGTTTAACAATACCCTGTTGAAGACTTTTCCTGGTATTGGGAGAAGAGTGTTGCCCCTGTAGTTCTCACAGTTGCTGAGATCTCCTTTCTTCTGTATTTTGACCAGAAGTCCTCCTTTCTAGTCTTTTGGTACTTGTTTCTCATCCCAAATCTTACTGAAGAGAATGTGGAGTATCCTTGCAGTTACCGCCACGTCTGCTTTCAGTACCTCTGCTGGAATGTTGTCTGGTCCTGCCCGAAGCATTTCTGGGGCTACTGCCGGTCCCAAGCTCGGATAAAGGAGGAGGGTTTGGCATGGCGTTAGCGACCACACCCCGTAGAAAACTAACTCGCCAAAAAAACGCTACATCGAATATTTAAGTATATTAAAATCTCAGTTGGTTTTATCCTTTTTTGAAGATATACCGACCTTTTGTAATATAAAGAAAATTATTATAAAACTTTGCTTTTATTGTGCACCCTTTCTTAGTTGTCAAAATAATTGGTTCTCAATCATCGTGGAAGGTAGGTTCAGATTCAAACATCCCGATGTTTTAGTTACAAGTTGTATTTAGTAGAGTTCAATGTTGTTGAGTGTGTTATTATTAGATGGCTGTGCGATATCGTAAATTAACGGAAGTTACAAATATGAGTAACTGGGCGTCGATTCACTAATCAAAAGCGCTCTCCCTGAACCCGAAAGGTCCTAAGTATGATCTCCCGGGGGGTCGTAGATGCACAATACTGAGGTGTACCAGTACCAGTACAAAATCATTATCCTGTGCTTTCTGATTGTACAAATAGTCTTTTAGCAAGCCGGTTAGTCTGGTTAAGCGAATAAATCGACACTGGTTAATTGAGCTATAAAATTTCCTGTTGTTAAAATTCATCACTTCGCTGTTTTTGTTAGTTTTCCTTTGTCTACCGACCGGTTTGATTGAAATTTACCAAAAGTTCAAGATATGTATTTCAATGTCATTTTCACAAGAATCTGTTATCGATCATACTCAACTCAACTTTGAGTAGACCGAAGTTTACTTGCAAGAGTTTTTGATGTTATGGGTTATAACCGATCGGTCTTTAATCACATATTTACCCTGAGCGGATTACCTCTATATTGTCATTTATTCACAAGTTTTAGGTAAAACTAAATCATGATGAGCAATAAAATGTGGGACTTGAGTTTCATCTGATACATGACTCGTTAACTGGATGTACTTGTATCAATTTTGAGGATCTTTGTTACACTCAAAGGCGATATCTATTGTTGAACTCGTTTGGTCAGTGGATAACGAGTCAACTTTTCAAGTAAAAAATACTGGGTTTAGGTTGAAAATACGAACATTAAAACTGGAATTCTAACACATCTACCTGACGATTTCAAAATATGATGAAGCGATTACTGAGATGGTGGAGAAGATTTGTAGCTCAGATGGATGAACAAAACTCCATCAGAAGCGATTACTAGCTACTATTTAACTTTAATGAACAGAAACTTGTTTATATTATTGTTAATTATGTTTTCTAATGTAAACATACATTATAATATATAAACAAATGGAGGTCATTTCAGGTGAAGACTATGTAGTGAAGGAACACGAATGGGGGACAACCGAATAATATTCGACACACATTTACAGGACTTATTATTTAAAATCTAACAATCATATAGTAAATGCTTAATTTGCA